TGACGCGTTCATCAAGATAGTCAGTGACGGGGCCAGGACCCGAGCGCAGTGTCGCAACACATAGCAGGGAATTCCGTCGCTACCCAAATGGCTGAGCCTCTGTCCGGGATGGTCTCGCCCTGCGATGTGGCTGGGGTATTACGATCAAGTACTAGATTAGAGAGTTTTAGCAACTCGTGAACGAGTGGACCTCTCGACTCGAGTCTCTACGAGTCGGTGGCAGGGAGCCCTACATTGACTGAGGCTACATACATTGGTATGCGTAGGGCCGCCTGGTCGGTGGTCGACTCGGGTGCCTGGGTTCGAGTCTCGTTGTGTGCTGCAATCGGGGTTCGTTTCGCACGAATCAAGCCAAGGGCAGTTGATTCGTTATGCAACAACGAGACTCGAACCCAGGCACCCGAGTCGACCACCGACCAGGCGGCCCTACGCATACCAATGTATGTAGGGCTCCCTGCCACTGACTCGTACTCGTAGAGAGGTCCACTCGTTCACGAGTTGCTAAAACGCTCTATTGTCGTATTGACGGCCTCCCACCAACTAATACTTGTGTGTGTGGTAGAGACATGTCTGTCGACCATGCATTGACATGCCCTACAGGGGGTTATCCAAGTCTGCGACACAATGAGCTTCGTGATGTGCTGGTGGAGGTGATGACTTCTTCTGCCATCCCGGATGTTCAAACAGAGCTACCGCTTTTGCCATTGGATGGTGAACAACTTCACGGCGCCACCGCTACTCGTGCTGCAGAAGCTCGCTTGGATATCCGTGCAAGGGGCTTTTGATCGCCACAGCAATATGCATTCTTTGATGTGAGGGTTAGTTACTTACTCACCCCTCGGCGTCTTTGTTGTCGCGACAGGAAGTCCTTGCACAGATTTCCCGAAATGAACATAAGAAGAAGCGGGCCTATCTTCAGCGTGTTGTCGATGTCGAGAGGGGGTCATTCACTCCGCTCGTATTTTCGACAAACGGCATATGCGGCGCGGAGTGCTCTCGTTCAGTTTCCAGCACTGTACATCTAAATACTGTACTGGGCAAAGATAGCAATCTTAGATGGAAATTCAGATTCCTAGAACAATACGACTGACTACTGATGATCAGGTGCATGAACATTTTAAAATTATTTCCCAAGACAAAGGCGACTCAGAGTGGCAATGGTTCTAATTACTTGGGGGTAATACTTCTCTTTCTCTCTCTCTCTCTCTCTCTCTCTCTCTCTCTCTCTCTCTCTCTCTCTCTCTCTCTCTCTCTCTCTCTCTCTCTCTCTCTCTCTCTCTCTCTCTCTCTCTCTCTCTCTCTCTCTCTCTCTCTCTCTCTCTCTCTCTCTCTCTCTCTCTCTCTCTCTCTCTCTCTCTCTCTCTCTCTCTCTCTCTCTCTCTCTCTCTCTCTCTCTCTCTCTCTCTCTCTCTCTCTCTCTCTCTCTCTCTCTCTCTCTCTCTCTCTCTCTCTCTCTCTCTCTCTCTCTCTCTCTCTCTCTCTCTCTCTCTCTCTCTCTCTCTCTCTCGCTAATAAGGTGCCCTGCAAGACGGCTTGGCCTGGCCTTAGGCCTGTGGAATTGCCCTATCAAACATTTGAGTCAAAGACTCACGCTGCTATCTAGTGTTCACGAGCTGTTTGTCGCGCTGGAAACGGAGCGTCTCTGTAAGTTTGTATCCCTGGTGATGTTTGTGCCTGAACAGCACTGTATAGTATACACGTATTAGTGGTGCTATTCAGGCACAATCTTCCTCCGCCTACTCAAGCTCAACTGATGAGGGGTGAATTGCCCGAAACACTGTGTATTGAGCAGGGAGTTGTGCTTTCTTGCAGGTTTGCCGAGTGGACGGTTCGATGGACTTCTAGTGTGCTCTGGATGGCAGTCGTGAGTCAGTCAAGTGAGAATTCAAGTCGGCAGGAAAACCGCGAGCTCCCATGTAGGGAGCAACACACTCTTCCCCTACTATCGCCGAAGTCGCACCAACCTCTTCTTCAAATTCGAACTCGGATGGTGAGCCAATATAGTTATGATGAAGTTTTGTGCCATTTTGTCGCACTCGCTGACTCTATAAGATCTGGTTACGTTGGTGGACAGTTCGTCACAACTCGTAACATTTTGTCCTGTTCCTTTCTTCATCATAACCTCTTCTTCAAATAAATAATACTTTAAAAAGAGTACAATCACAATGTCTAATGGTGTTTCTTGACAAGATATACATCATGTACATGATTGTACAGTTCACTGTTAATGTTGTGCTGTCTGCATAATACCCAGCCGAGTGGCAATGGCGAGCTAACTTACTTCATGCTGTATCCTTCCAGTTGCTGTTTCCTGTCGGTAATCGACCGAGGATGCACTCGTACATGCACTGTTACACGTACATTGTACAACAAAGTTTTTTCCCCGCTATTTTAATGGTCCGTGGATGCGTGAGCAGCATGCAGAGAGACTCTGCTCTGGCTATACTAGGGATCGGAAGAGTGTCACAGCGGTGACATTTGATTTTGCGCATAGTCATCATATATGGTGCTAAAATATTATTATACATGGTGCCAGCGGCTCCCAGCCGGCAAATATTCGGTGTCATGACACGCCCTTGCTGACTAGGCCTATGCGCGGTGTGCGCACTATCCCTCCCTAACTCCACCATCACCAGCAATGATTATGTGTAGCGCGTGTGCTGAGAGAGCTAGACTAGAGCCGTAGAGGGAAAGTTTAGTGCTGGTCACCATGGTCACTGTGCTGCAGATCATACCATACCAGCCACTGAGAGTGAAATCTACACTTCACTACGTATCAGTAGTACAGTGCAGTACGTTCAAGTTAGTTAGTTGGTAGAGACACGTGACCATCTGTGGGTGAAAGAAACCATGAAACTCTGAGTCACACCAAAAAAAAGCTCTAGTTTTCCGTTGTGATGAAGAAGGAGGGAGGGAGAGAGAGAGAGAGAGGGGGGGGGGGGGGGGGAGGAATCACCACTGAGGCACAGCTGAACTGGTCACATGGACTTGTAACTACTTGTTGTTAGTACATGTAATACCATTGTAACTACATGTAACTGTTACTCACTCACTACACCTGTCACGTGACTGTAGTGGGCTTCTACTAGTACTGCAGTCCGTAGTACAGGAGAGGCCGTAAATCATGGTATGGTGGGTATCAGGGAGTCGTAAAATGCCGATATTTTACGACTCCCTGGTGGGTATGGTTCGGGTGGGGTGGATATAACCAGGGTATTGTACTACTCCCTGGACATAACCGTTCTCAGTAGCAGGTCATGGTAGATGCTAGAGATAAACAGCGGGGACCGCGCTCTTCCCCCGGCATCATGGACACCAGGACAGACCCACGCACCTGCTCAGCGCAGTCAGTAGCATGCAGATCTATATCTACGACGTCTAAGATCTGCCTCCAACTGACTCCATATCCATGCATGCCATTGTGGAGTAGCAGCATGCAGTGAGGCTTTGTATCAAATTTTGTATTGTATTTATCTAATTAAGGATTCCCCAAGGGCTGTTCGCCTGTCGAGGGGTTTCCTATTTTCGCCTGAGTGATGAGATACGTGGGAAGGGAAAATTGGTAAGAGAGGCAGGAAGAAAAAGAAGAGAAAAGCAGAAGAAAAGTTGAGTTGTCTCGGATGGAGAGCCAAGGGTAAATTTATAGTAAAGAAAAAAAGGACCAAGAAACTACAAGTTACGCTATAATGTCCACTAACACCACCAGTTACTAAACAATCAGCTCATGCGATAACATTGCACGACACAAAAACTGAGTTATCTGCACCAGCCAAAACCCATGATAAACATACAATTGACTGTAAGAACAGTCAGTACTCAATAACGTTACATCCAAGCCTGATGCATCATACTATCAAGAGTACATAACCCGTACTCTTGATCCTATTCATACTCATACTCATAGGCGCGCGGCCGCGAAATGAAAACTGCCACTCAGTATGAGTATGAGTGCATGTCACGTGACATTACCCTGGTGTTCTACCCTTACCATGCTTACGGGGTGTGTCACTGATTATGCTTTATAGGGTAATAAGCCGATTAGCCCCCTCCCCTGTATGTTACTCTTGCCTATATCATAGTGGACTGTACTCGTACTCCTGCCGTCCTGGTCACGCAGAGTCGTATACTGAATTTAAGGCCGTGCTCACGTGTGTTCCTTCTCCTTTCTACATTTGATATTGCCTTTGCTTTGGCTCTCAGCATCAGACTCAGAGTCTCACTCTAGTCGTAGGCCAGTTTGTGACAATCCTCGTCCTGTGCAGCACACTATGAGAGAGTTATAACATTTCCAGACGCTTACTAAATCTGAGCAGCACCGTCCCATACTACTAGACTACTAGTGGATACAGAATGGAGGGCAGTGGGTAGTACAGTATTATGATTATTTTTATAGGTGATAAGGTATGGGTGGGAGCAGTGGCCAGGTGTCGCTCAATTTAAAAATAATAGTCTTATAGAAGTTATACTAAATAGTAACAGACTCAGTGTGCATTGTATGGACAGGTACCTACACTCATCGTGATAAGTTATGGTGTTGGTGGATTGGTGGCTAGGGAGGTGCTGCATGCGGGTCGATACAGGTCAGTGGGTCACTGACTTGACTGGGATACTACAATAGTAGGTAGACTAGAGCCAAGGTAGGAGTGTAGATTACCATGATTACTAGTAGCAGTGAGGTGTCGGCGTGCGTTGAAGAACGGTACAATGTAGAAGTGCATGGCAAGCGTGAGTTACCGTGAAGTCCTACGAATACGAGATCATGATGCCTAGCATGTAGCCTCTCTTTGTTGTCTACTCCCGTCAGTCGTGATATGAGTTACAGTTGAGCCGGGACCCTGTGTGGTCGCAGAGCACAGAGCACAGGCGGCATCAAGATCAACCCTCAACGACATCGATTCGCGCACACTTGTCGTTGGAGCATTCCACCTCAGTTTGACAGCAGGAAAAATGTGCGGCAGAAGAGAAGATCTGTGCTGCTGTGCGGGCGGGCGTAGAGCTACCGACAGTACCGTGCATGTGTCGCGTGCGAGATCGCACATGCACACAATCGTCAATGCGTAGATCGACTGGGAACCGTGGTTTTTTAGCTTCTGTGCATCCGTGTTTGCATGACACACACAGATTTGGTTAGCAAATTTCGATTTTTTCAGAGCGTAGGCCTCCCAGAATACGGGAGTTTTTGGCGCTTTGTACGGCTTTAGCAAGTGTACAACTCTCTTCAACAGAATTCAAGCCGAGCCGATGACTTTCACGTACACGGATCTGTATCCGTGACGGAGTTGCCCTTCGACAACGAAGACCAGTTTTGAAGGTTTTGCTTTGAGGCGACCGGCTCATGGATTGGGTTGTTGTCGATGCCTGCACTTATTTCCGGAAGGCTGTGTAGGCTGTAGTTCTTGCTGTAGTAGAGCTGAAGTGCTTCTTGAAGCCCCTGTTCCAACAACCGAGAAGAGCAACTGGCCATCGCCCCTGTACTTTTGGGGCTCACTGATGCGTTCGTCGTTCGGGCTTACCCAGATCTCTCTTGCTGAGTTCAGTTGAAATTTTAGAGCACTCTCTAATGCTGCTCTTCTGGTAGTCGTTGGTGCTGTGAGACGTTGGTGCTGCTTGTTGCTTGCTTGGAGCATTGCCGGGATAGGAAACCGAGCGTTTCCTCAGTCATGGTGGAAGTGGTGAAGGGAAAAGCCACGGAGAAGTACGATGTCGGAGAAATCATTGGACGGTAAGCAGTAGTAGAACATTCTTTTGTTTGCTGGCCACAAAAGTAGTGTAATCGTCGTGGTTCATCAGCCCGTGAAGTGCCCATGCTCGTGTTCAGCTACTACTAGTATTCTCCCCATGGGTCCTTCGCCTGTGTTGAATGTCGTGAGTTTTCGAGTGTTTCACCTCTGGAGTGAGAGTGTTAGTGGCATAGATTGACGTTACGGATTTGAAGTGTGGGGGTTGGGGCCTTTTAGCAGTGCGATATCGATTTGAGTCATGGTGGCCCCCCAAGCGGATTAGATCTTGTGTGTGTGTGTGTGTGTGTGTGTGTGTGTGTGTGTGCGCGTGTGTGTGTGTGTGTGTGCATCGTTGTGTGACTTCGCTACTCGTCTCTGTTGAGTTGAGGGACCACAGGCGTTTTATGATTCTCCCAGCTAGCTGGAAGTTTGTCATCCAAAGACAGAGGACACTGACGCGCAGTCGACCCCTCGAGAAGTTTTCTTTTCTCTATCGCCGGCTTGCGCCCAGCGTGAGGTGGCGAGATGCCACATCCGTTGTAGGTGACTGGGGGCACGGCATCGGCACTGCAAAGTGCCAGCCAACACTGAACAGTCATGCATCACCGTCTTTGTCGTTTATGTATTGTAAGCGCATTTTCTGATGCAGTTCACCGTCGTTGTATTCTATCATCGGCGAGCACTCACTGTTTTCAATGTCCGTCATCCACACTACTCGAAAATTCTCAAGCTCTGGGTCGTAGGAAAAATGCTGGGCATTGCCGACAGAGGATGACTGTTGTTTGACGTGGGTCTGCGAAGCAATGCGCAGGCAGTAACCTTGTTCATCGAACGCAATTAGGCTGTGACCGCCACCTTGTTCAGCCGCTTGTGATGTTGAATTTTTAGTTGACTTTGTCTCCTGTAGTGAGTTTGTCCCTCTACCCGTTTGTTTGGGAACACGAATGACTTTCCATGGCAGAATCCAGATGGATTAGGGTGTGATCGATTTTTTTCTATCACTTCAACAATTCCATCCTTGATTTTGTATGGGTTCGTTGTGTACGAAATGACTGCATGAAACTGAAAGAGGTTTCCGAAATGCTCAACGTAAGGACAAGTTAAGTGGTTTTGTGTGATTGTGCAGATGAAAGATTGTTACAGTTGCTTGTCATGGCCAGAAGTACATAATTTGTAATTTGTATAATTTCTGGAGACAGTTGTGATGTGATTGAGTGGGTGGTGCTAGCAGAGTCCTGCAGGCCTAGTGAGCTCTTTTCCATGTCCCTCTTTTCTTCTCTCTAAATCACACGACCGCACATAGGAACACTCAACAAATAATTGAGTCACTAAATTACTTAATTTTATGTCTCCTCTGGCACACACCAGTTGATTTATTTGTTGCTGATTGCTTGGTATGGCATTCATCACCTGTGGGCCTTGGATCCCTGTGCCTTGTACTGGTATGATCACCTTTGGCTTTGGTGACAGAACCTATCCCGTGAGACACAAGTTGATGCAGAGCAGTGAACTGCAGGACTTGAGGCTATCCCTAATTTGAAGTGCTTGATGTCCTTTTGGCTTGCACCAGCTCATGATTGGAGATGATTGAGATAGACACCGCTGTAGAGGTTCCCTGATGGTTGAGCGTAGGGTTTGCACTGGGCACACCAAGGCAGCGTGCGGAGTGGAATTCAGTCTCACCAGTCCTGTAGAACAAAGCAGTTCAGCAGCTGCACTGACGCTCACAGCAGGGTTTAGCTGACTGGAGAGTGAAATACATGTACAAATTGTAATTATACTTGTATGATCCCCTCCCCATGAGTACTGTCTGGAGTTACATGTACAAGTATGTGATGCATGCAGTCTAGACCTTGGAGGTAGAGGCTGTGCACACTGCACACCTGATACTGGAACACGTGTGACACATCCACCTTGAATGGTCTGTGCATTTCAGGTATTCAATTACTGCAGAATGGTGGGTGGGTGAGGTGCCTGGTTGAGGTTGATGTTGCATTGCTTGTCCTCAGATCTGGTGATCCCCTACATAGTGAGCATATCTATACATGTGTGTAGTATTTGCAGCACTGTACTATGGTGGTGTAGTAGCAGTGGCAGTGCACTGCAGCTTAGTGTGGTGTTGTGACCAGGCTGGTGCAGTACACTGCAGCTTAGTGTGGTGTTGTGACCAGGCTGGTGCAGTACACTGCAGCTTAGTGCAGTGTTGTGACCAGGCTGGTGCAGTACACTGCAGCTTAGTGTGGTGTTGTGACCAGGCTGGCGCAGTACACTGTATACTAGTGTCAGGGGCATTGGACACTGTACAGTCACTACAGTATTGACCGTACCACTTTATGCCCCAGGTACCCCATGAATCAATAAAATACACTGATCTGGGATGTAAATTTCCAAAATTTTCGGCTCAGCCACCACTCCCCCAAGAGTAAAACTGTACTTCAGATGGCTGACTGTACCACACTAAAATACCTTCCGACGCCCCTGAGTGTGGTGTTGTGACCAAGCTGGTGCAGTATAGTATTGTAACAGTGTGCATTGTATGGACAGGCAGGCACCTACACTCATTGTGATCGATCCACCAGCACCCAGTCTAGTCCCATGAGTTCTATTATGAGTGCTGCTTTACATAGGGCATGGGGAAATCAGCAGAATGCTGCAATAGCATTATTGTTTCCTGCAGGTTAAAAACGTGCTAAACTGGCAGAGTATGTGAATGCTTTGACTAACTGAGTAGCTAAGTGTTCCACCGATAGGCTAAATAGGACGTCTAGGTTACGCCCTTGGGGTGGTGATGCCATGGGAATTTCACCTTTACCATCCCAGTTACACCCGGGACAGGCTACCTGTAGTGCTGGCAGTTTGGAGCAATGATCATGGTAGTGGTTGGAGGGCCATACTCCCCTGTGTGCTGGTTGGAGGGCCATACTCCCCTGTGTGCTGGTTGGAGGGCCATACTCCCCTGTGTGCTGGTTGGAGGGCCATACTCCCCTGTGTGCTGGTTGGAGGGCCATACTCCCCTGTGTGCTGGCTGGAGGGCCATACTCCCCTGTGTGCTGGTTGGAGGGTGTAGCAGCATTGGTAGTAGTGTACTTTGCAAGTGAATCACCAGCGATTCTATTAGCCAAAGACACGTGTGTGGCCTGGCTACTGTCACAGTGTCGCCAGTAAGAATAGATAATATGCAGGCTTGACCCAGTAAGGATACGGTAGATGCAGGCTTTCACATAGTATCCTGTGCTTGTCTCCTGTGGTCTACACGTACATATTATGGCAGATACCCTCTGTGTGCACATGTGTATGTGTGTATGTGTATGAGTATGGCTCCCTGTCACAGGGGAGTGACGTGGCCCTATGGCCCAGAATGGGGCAGTCATGCTACTAGTATGTGGTAGTAGTGTGTTTGTGTGCATGTGCATGCATGTGTGTTGGCTTGAGCTGAGCACTCCAGCACAGCACTGCACTGGCAGATTAGCTGCTGTTGTCATTGTTTGTCGGTGCTGTCTTGAAATCACCATGTTTGAGGTACAGTCGAGTAACGATCTTTGCCAGCAGCCATTGTACCAGACCTGTAGCTTGACAGCAGGGTTGTGGCCCCTGATAACCTGTGCTCATTGGTCCATGGCACCTGCCCGGCACCCTTTGTTCTTGTCCTTACTCTTCACCATAGTGTCTCTTCAAGTAGGCTATTATGCCCCTCTCAGCCGCCCACTTGTCTTCTGGGATTTCCAGCAGCTTTAGGGACAGCCCCTGTTGTGATGCTATGCTGGCCTGCTGTGGTAGTAGTACTACAAAGCCTGAGTGAAGAGTGAGGTTTATTCAAATTTAGAATTATTTGGGTGGTAGGAGCTAGGTGGTGTTTTGTAAAGAATGTAATCATAGCAAGCTGTTGAGTGCTGTAGAGGACTGAAGTAGCCTGCACACCAGTAGTACTAGTAGTCTCCAGGGCTGTGTTCTGCTGATGCCTGTGCTGTGTGCTGTGGACTGCTGTGCCATTTGTACTGCACGACTATGTAAGGCCTTCAGGGTGCGGAGTGGAAATCAGTTGTAAAGACAGTGCAATCATACTTACTACTAGTTCATGTACCGTGAGACACAGACTGACTTCTGGTGTGTGCATGCCAGTGGAACATGATTCAGCTGATGGCTTTGTGCTGCTGCTGGTGGTGCTGCTGGTGGTGGTGCTGCTGCTGGTGGTGGTGCTGCTGCTGGTGGTACTGCTGGTGGTGCTGCTGGTGGTGCTGCTGCTGGTGCTGCTGGTGGTGGTGGTGGTGGTGCTGCTGGTGGTGCTGCTGGTGGTGGTGGTGGTGGTGGTGCTGCTGCTGCTGGTGGTGGTGGTGGTGGCGGTACTGCTGCTGCTGCTAGTGCTAGTGCTAGTGCTAGTGCTTGTGGTGCTGTTGCTGCTGCTACTACTCCTACTGCCACTGCTGCTACTGCCACTGCTGCTACTGCCACTGCTCCTACTGCCACTGCTCCTACTGCCACTGCTGGTTGTGCTGGTGCTGCATGCACTGTCTGTCAGTATCCAGTGAACAGTGCATGTAATCATTTGGAGGAATGTGGTGTTGTTACTGCTGCTGTTGCTGCTGCTGCACTTGGCTATAAGTGGTGCTGCAGCATTGCATTCTCTAGTTTGGTGTTGATAGTACCAGTGTGCAATGCAGTGCTGGTGAAGCTCACTAATCACTGACTACTTAATTGACCAAGTTAGTCTGTTGTCCTGACCAGATGATGTCAGTGCCTGGATGCCTGGAATCACTTGTGACAGTGCTGATTGTGGGTGAATGGAGGAGACACAAAGTGCTTGTACAGTAGTGCACTGACCTTCACATCACTTCCAGCCAATTAACTGTTGTCCCAGCTAGTACTGTGTGATATAATTATTATGTGCACTGGGAGCAGTGCACTAGTGGCATGTGGCATCAATACCCTAAGGCTAAGTATACAAGTATCTGTGTCAGTATTAGCATGTAATGCCTGATGGCTTCACCTGTCAACACTCATGGTGATATTATGATGATATTAGTAGTCTTGTAAAGATGGTTACATTGTACTTTTGCTAGTGGTAGTGAGGAACAACCTGTGTGGCGTATGCAGCTCAGTGTATACATGTATATGTGTGGACTGTTGGATGTGTAGTCCTGGAATGCACAGTAGTAGTACTAGTAGTAGTACTAGTAGTAGTGCTAAGTACTTGTCCTCCTTGTCAGTACCACCACCACCACCGCTATACCTACCTACCTGTCCCCGGGGAAAATTGCGATTCCGCGGCCGCGTTTTTTTCCGCGTTTTTTGCGATTTTTTAAAAGACCGCGTTTTCCGCGATTTTCCCGCGTTTTTTGAACTTTTTGTTGCACTACACGTACACACAGTGCACTTTTCGGTCAGCAACGTCTCATCGTGGCGGCTTTTTACTCAAATAATGGGTGCTTTATACACCAGAGACTTGTAACTGATTGATTTCACTACATACTCACTGAAAATTGCCGCATTCACCGCATATTTACCGCATATTTACCGCAAATTCACCGCAAATTATGCCATATTATGCCGCGTTTTTCCCCGCGTTTTTTGCGATTTTTTTCCGCAATTTTCCCCGGGGACAGACCTACATAATTGTACATGTACACTGTGCACTACAGCATACTGTAAAAGCAGAAATTTTCGGTGGGGTTTTATTTTCGGTAACTTCGGTGCCGAAATTTTTACCGAAAATAAAACTCACCGATAATGTCGGTATAGTATTAGTACACTTATCTGGAACGCGGGTTTACCGAAAATTTCCCTCCGCCGAACTGCCGATTTTGGGGAATACCGAAAATATTACACCACCGAAAATTTCTGCTTTTACAGTAATAGAATACAGTACATCACTCTGGCATTGGGGCATTTAATACATCATGACAGTACAACAGCACTGCCGCATTACAGTATAACATTACCAGTGTATGCAGTGGCATTGGTACATGACATCATCACAGGTATGCTACAGCATTGGCACATTACAGTATAACGTTACCAGTGTGTGCAGTGGCATTGGTACATGACATCATTACAGGTACGCTACAGCATTGGCACATTACAGTATAACGTTACCAGTGTATGCAGTGGCATTGGTACATGGCATCATTACAGGTACGCTACAGCATTGGCATATTACAGTATAACATTACCAGTGTATGCAGTGGCATTGGTACATGACATCATTACAGGTACGCTACAGCATTGGCATATTACAGTATAACGTTACCAGTGTATGCAGTGGCATTGGTACATGACATCATTACAGGTACGCTACAGCATTGGCACATTACAGTATAACGTTACCAGTGTATGCAGTGGCATTGGTACATGACATCATTACAGGTACGCTACAGCATTGGCATATTACAGTATAACATTACCAGTGTATGCAGTGGCGCATTGCAGCATTACATAATTACATTACCAGTGGCAGTGTGGCATTCTACAATAGGGAGGTTTCGCTCTACGGAATTACGTATGAAAATAACGTATGAACTGCACGGAATTTTCATGCGTAAAAATCAGAGCTGTTGGGTTTCGCTCTACGTGATTTCTCCACGACTGCTCAACATGCGTTGTTGCTTTGGAGATGCGTTGGCTGTAGGGCTGAAACGATATGATCGATTAACCGTTTGCTAATCGCTAAGGAAATTATCGATTATCGTTAGCTGTCACTAACGATATAACGATACTACCAAGAGTACTGGAAAGTGGCTATGGCGAACTGTTACTGTTGTTTGTTGTCGGGAAGAAAGTCACAATGTGTCCCAAGGTTGTATTTTCTGTCTTTGGGCAGGACAAGGTCTGAGTTCATTTTTGTTACGCGAGCTAGCTGCAGAAGAAATGTCGGCAAAAGTTTCTAGAACAAAACGGTCGCCAGTATGGGCATATTTCGTAGAGGTGGGTGGATCAGTAAAGTGTAATTTGTGCAGTCAAACGCCCGTGCGAACAAGTAGCACAACGAACTTGTTCTCGCACTTGAAGACGCATCATAAGGAGCAGCATGCTCTTATTGCTGGAGGTAAAACACCAGAGGTGTCAGCAACTACCTCTTGCGGAACGAAGTCTGTCGCGTTGTTGCATTCACTCACTCACTCTCAATCTTCTTTCTCCACTTTAGGTGCTGCCGCTGGGCCTTGATAGTAGCTTGAACAGTAATAGGACATGTTAGCTGTGTTATGCCACCACTCATAATAATTAATTCATTTTGGTGGCTATACCATTACTATACTCACCTTACGCAGCCAAATGCCGGCTTGAAATATCGTTATATCGTTATATCGATTGTTAAGCTAGAAGTGTTATCTTTAAGCTGTTTTTGCGTATCGTTTCAGCCCTAGTTGGCTGCATGCGCCCACCGTATGCACCATGAACCGAAACCGCGTTTTCCATTATATTTTGCACGTGGTGTACGGTGTGTGTACCTTGTGTTTCGCGCGGCTTGAATGTTGCCATGGACAAATGCGGAAAATGCGAAAAAATATTTCAAAAAGTCCTACGGAGGACCCAACGTAGGAAAGAGCTTTCCTACGGAAATCCGTAGAGAGATTTACGTATGAAAGTTGCCCTCGCTCCCCGGCGCGTACGACATACGGATTTTCATATGTAATTACGTAGAGCGAAACCTCCCTATTATCTACCTTCACTGACCAGAGTTTTTATACTCGAAACAGCTGTATGAAGGAATTCAGTACCAAGGGATGTGTCGCTGTGCTGGTGGTGTGCTGTGGCAACATGTCGAGGTCGGCTGGAGAGTTCAGTTATGGTGTAGACACTACACTGTAGTGGTCAATGGAAGAAGTGACGGTGTCATTACATCATTACAGTACTACAGCCTAACAGTGCTGGTGGCATTACGACATAACAACTGTACTACACCTGTCAACAGTACTACACCTGTCAACTGTACTACACCTGTCAACTGTACTACACCTGTCAACATGCATGATTGTACTACATTATGTCATTGTACATCAAAGACTTTTAAGTGGTGAATGTACAGCTATTATTGTTTCCTACTTGACCTGCTATGGCCATAGCCTGTAGGAGCAGGTATGCTGTGAAGGTATGCAGACTATGTGTGTACTTGTTGTTAGTGATCTACCACCTGGACAACTCAGCAGGAGGGGGGAGTTCCGTGGAGATCTGACAAAGTAGATTTACATTATGGTCAAATGAAGCTAGAGCATACCACGTGTATAGCCAATGTACAGTACTGCTCGATGAAATCCAATCGCGCCGCGCATGGCGTTGCGCAGCCCTGGACCTGCGAACACTGGGCTGCGAAATCATGCAAGGCGCAAACTTGAGTGACGTGACTGACTGGATTTAATTGAGCAGCTATGTACTACCTGCTATATGCACATTTTCAACGTTGTTTTATAGACGAAACGTCTGGAAGCGTATCGTAATTTTTCTTTCTTTCTTTGTGGATCATATGTATCACTCTTGGTCTAACAAAAAGGACTGGATTTTGACTTGGTAGTAACCAGGATAACGGGCCGCCATATGTTGTGCTCTAATAATTCCGTCCTTCCATGGCGTCTCTATGACAACGCGACTGGCATGGCTTTTCCCTCGCTCCCGGTCGTGCGGCTGCACGAAGCCCTTGTTCCCTGCTGTTGTAAAGCCGTATTCTAACACCTGCATGTTGTTGCTGCTCCTACTGCTGTTGTTGCTATTATTGCTATTCCCCCAATGCAGTGGCAAGTTCTCCACCGTCAAGCTATGCACGGAGAAAGACACCGGCAAGGAGTTTGCTGTCAAGATCCTGCGGACGGCACGGCGCGGCTGCTCTCGAGATGCCATTCTCAATGAAGTGCGCATCATGAACATGTGCGTGGATTGCATGTACGTGCTCAAGCTGGTGGAAGTGTTTGACGGTGGGCGCGAATTTCATCTCGTCGAAGAACTGTAAGTATTGCTTGCATGCTGTGTTGCTTTTGTCTGAAAAACTTCCAACTCAGTTCTGGCATCGGTCCGCCTTGCTGCTTCACCAAGTCAATTTCGTATCGCAATCCTAGATTGGCTAGGGTACCCTGTAAGGAGACCATAGGTCTGTGGGGACTGCCCAAGAGAAATATGAATAAATACTACTACTACTACTACTACTACTACTACTACTACTACTACTACTACTACTACTACTACTACTACTTCCCAGTGTACACTGTACATAAGAATAATAACTAGAGTGCTGCTCAATGAAATCCAGTCCCGTCACTCAAGTTTGCGCCGGGTGTTGCGCAGCCCTAGACTAGCGAACACTGGGGTGCGAAATGATGCAGGGCGCAAACTTGAGTGACGCGATTGGATTTCATTGAGCAGCACTGTAGTTGCCATGACACCTACCCAGCCATTGCCAACCCGGTGTAGACCGCGTAGTTCTTCCCCTGGACGGAATCTGGTCTCTGTGCTTGGTTTCGGAACTGAACTGAATCACTCCAACCCAACTGACAGTGTCTTGGTTGGGCCGGTCTCCTCCTTTTTATTTGCGAAACTCAACTTGGATAAGACAGATCTCCTTTGGAGCGGAATGAGCTGGTGCCCATGGCCAAATGGGCAACTGAGTGCAGGACTATGTATCATGCATGCTCGTGTACATAATTGTGTATTCATTGGTGTGAGAGAAATGATGGAAACGGGGAAAGTCTGAAGAAAAATTGACTGTCATCACCAGGACTCGAACCGGGGACCTTTGCTTGAGGCCAGCATAGTTATACTTATATCCATGCCAGAAGCTGTAGTTGGGTCAGTTATTGCATACCAGCCATTCCGTACTTGCCATTTTGCTCATTTTGTCCATGTTTGGCCTCTTCTAGTCGCAGCTGGTGCAAGGCTGATTGTGCCCTGTCCCGATGTCCCACAATTCATCACCGGTCTGGATTGCGTTCAGGGCCAACAGATCACGGCTGTGGTCCTGTTAAATTTTTTTTATAAGTTCGGGGTCAAATGCACATTGTTATGGATACTATGATCTCGTGGTGTCTGCCTGTAACTTCCTGATTGAACGCCAACACAAACTAACAAATTCTACGATGGCTGTTGTTGTTGTTGTTGTTGTTGTTGCTGTTGCTGTTGCTGTTGTTGTTGTTGTTGTTGTTGTTGTTGTTGTTGTTTTGCAATGGTTGCGTGATGGTTGTCCAGGGCTGAATGTGGTGACTTGTACAGTCGTTGTCTTGCTGAAGAAAACCACGCGGAGGAGAATGAAGTGCGCAATTACATCAGACAGGTAAACAACTAAGTCACTTCATTCCACAGTTGTGCCGTCGAATTGACCGGTCCTTGACGACATGGAAATGATGCAAACGCTCCTGGACGGACTCATGTACAATTGCAGTAATGAAATCGAAACTGGTCCAGGGAGCCAGCTTTGTACCTTGGGTCAGGCTTCATTTAGCGCAGCTGTACATGCTCAGGGGCATGGCTCGCACATCTGTGGTGGGTTGACCATGTACCACCGGCAACATTGTAGCCGTCATTTTGACTATTTAGACTATGTAGTACCGATGGTAGCCGTCATTTAGACTATTTAGACTATGTAGTAGCTATGGTAGCCGTTTGCTGGTGTGGTGACCGCACTACGCTGACTACACACGAGCTATGTGCCCGATGCTGTATCTATGCTCTGCCGCTGTTCACTCTCTCTCTCTTTCTCTCTCTCTTTCTTTCTTTCTCTCTCTCTCTCTCTCTCTCTCTCTCTCTCTCTCTCTCTCTCTCTCTCTCTCTCTCTCTCTCTCTCTCTCTCTCTCTCTCTCTCCCCCCCCCTCTCTAGTATGTACCATGACATACACCAGCACAAACTTAAGCTACAACTGCTTGCAGCTGATATTTCTGTGACATGGAGCAGGTTTCTAAGATTTCACTACCTCCAGCTCACCACCCCCAGTATGTACAGTCCTGACCAACGACATCTGAACCGTGAGCTGAAAGCAATGCCAAGGCTCATGCCACACTCGGATCGGTTTTTGGACCGTGCAGCATGAAGTGTTTGAAGTGGAAAGGCGGTGCAACTTCGGTTTTCTTTGGCCACAACTGGACTTGTTTCCTTTCCAATACTACAGTACTGTCGGGCGCCGAAGAACGACCAGGCTAGGATTTCACCAAGCACAGCATACCAATGTATACACGGTGACTCAACTGTGCATATACATGAACATAAGAACGGCCTAGGCTAGGAGGCTGACCCCCAGTTCTTCGGTACCCGACAGTACTGTAGCGGATGGACCATGTACGAAAGTGTGACGGTCGCTGTAAGAGACAGGTTTCTCATCAGAGAAATCACTGTGCAGTGACTTTTAGTGCGTTTCAAAAGTCCAGACCTCTGGTTTCAAAAAACCTTTAGGCCAGCATCTATACCACTTAAAATCTGTGATCACTTTGTGCATAAAATTTCTGCAATCTGGCGTTTGTGATCCAATCGCTTAGTGATTAATAATTATGAGGAAAATTGCGGGAGCTTCCTGAGCAATGTTCCGAAGAAATTTCTCAAACAGCTCCCAAACCGAATTTGAATTATTCAAAAAAGTCTAGAGGTCTACACTTTTGAAACACACTCTAGTGTGATTGTCGGGACCGACAGTTGTTCTGAAGTGGGGACATGCTCACTGATGTGTCTATTGATGCTCATGTGTATGTATGTGTGTTTGTATGTATGTGTGTGTATGCTCGTTTTCTGGTGTATGTTTGGTGTGTGCAATGTGCTACCTGGTGACAACACTCCTAGCTGATCGATGCGTTGGTGTTTATTCACGAGCGTAACATCGTTCACTGCGATATCAAACCAGAGAATGTGCTGGTTACACGCGACGACACCGACAATATCCGTCTTGTCGACTTTGGTTTGGCGCGCGTCGTTTCGCCCAAGGATAAAGTATGCGAGATTGTCGGCACCACCGAGTATGTAGGTGAGTGGAGGTTGGACGTGTACACAATCATGCACATGCCACACTTGTCCACACACGCATATGTGTGTGCGTGCACATGCACAAACACACGTATATGCGCACACGCACACACACACACACACATGTACACACATACACACGCACACACACACACATACACACACACACATACACGTACACACACACACACATACACACACACACACACACACACGTACACACACACACACATACACACACACACACACGTACGCACACACACACGTACACACACACACACACATACACACACACACACACACACATACACACACACACACACACCTCACACTGAATAGATACACGTGTACACATGTGTCATCGGCTTCCTGCCTCTTCCATCCATTGACTACCAAGACCAGCAACTGGATACTTGGACTACTCCATACCTCAGCCCTCAGCATACCTAGTGCTCTATCAATTGGTGACCTTATCCATTTTACTCTGTTATTGGCAAAGAACAACACACGAGCATGTGAATAGCATGTTTTCTCGGCCAGTAAATGAATCGTGCACGTGATAAGCCCTCTTCCATCGCTGTGTTTTGTGTTTGTGTGCAGCACCCGAGATCCTGAGCTTTGAGCCGATAATGGCAGCCTGTGATATGTGGTAAGAAGCGTGTGTTTAGTTTTACAACTACAGTAAAACCTGTAACTAAAGACCACCTTGACTAGCGACCAACCTGGTACTACAGTGGAACCTGTAACTAAAGACCACCGTGACTAGCGACCAACCTGGTACTACAGTGGAACCTGTAACTAAAGACCACCGTGACCAGCGACCAACCTGGTACTGCAGACCACTCCCCCAGGCACCGACGGTCTCACGTTCCTATTATGGTTGTGCGGTGCAAACCTCTAACTAAGCACCACCTGCCACTAAAGACCGCTTTCTCTGGCGCCAAGGGGTGGTCGTTAGTAACAGGTCTTACTGTACAGTGAAACCTGTCTAAGACGACCTCTCATGGGACCTTCAATACCTTCAATATGTGGTCGCTGTGTACAGGTGGTCTCCTCATCCAGGGTCATTTGACTGGAAATTGTATCCCTTGGTCCTGGTTGCAGTGGTCTTCTAGGACAGGCGGTCGCCTTATTAGAGTGATTGAAGTCTTGCCAAGTTCTACTGTGCCCTGTCATTGTTAATATTATCACTGGCATTGGTTCGGCTAAGAGCGCGTGCTGGTGGTGATGGCGGGTGGAGGATGTAGTAAGTAAAGTGGAGTATGGCTGAAAGCTCTGTCGCGATATTTTTTAAATATATTTTTTGTGCGTGTGTATACGTGTTTTGTGATTCTCAGGAGTCTGGGAGTTCTCGCCTACACGCTGTAAGTACCTCCTCCTCTTTGGGTGATAATGTTCACAAAGACAATGGACCTAGAGACATGCGAAGATGTTGCACTCTAGTCCATGGTGTTAGCTGTGAAGCTGCTATGTTACATGCTAGTCCATGGTGTCATGCTGCTTGAACACTCTCTCTCTATCTCTCTCTCTCTCTCTCTCTCTCTCTGTCTCTCTCTTTCTCTCTCTCTCTCTCTTTCTCTCTCTCTCTGAAAAAAATTCTGCGCATTTTTTCTCCATCTGCGCATAAAATCTAGACTGACAACCTGCTTGTAAAATCATGCACCTGCTTTCAGGCGTAAAAACCCTGTTGTAGAGGTCTCAGTCCTCATTTGTTAGACTTACCGTATTTCCGCAAATAAAAGGCCGTCCTCGTATACAACGCCTTCCTCGTATACAAGGCCGGGGCAGGGGGCGATTGAAAAAATAAAAGACCGTCTCCGATTAGAAGACCGGGCCTACTAAATGAGTCTTTGTTCTTGTGTTAAAAATGGAAGACTGTGCTCAAACTGTGGGAAAAAATAGAAGACCGTGCTCAAACTGTGTAGAAGAAAATGGAAGAACGGGGGTAAAACTGTGTGGCGAGAAATAGAAGACCAGGGTCAAACTGGGTTAAAAGAATAAAAGACCGTCCTCGATTATAAGGCCGGGTTAGGGCGAGGTTGAAAAAATAGTAGACCGGCCTACTATTTGTGGAAATACGGTACCTGTCTTTATAAATGTAACTTACTCTCTCTCTCTCTCTCCGTCTCTCTCTCTCTCTCCCTCCGTCTCTCTCTCTCTCTCCGTCTCTCTCTCTCTCCGTCTCTCTCTCTCTCTCTCTCTCTCTCTCTCTCTCTCTCTCTCTCTCTCTCTCTCTCTCTCGTCTCTCTCTCTCCGTCTCTCTCTCTCTCCCTCTATCTATCTCTCTATCTACCTCTCTCTATCTCCCATGGACAAAAGGAGAGACATGCTGTGTCCGATAGGGCCTACAGGACTAATGGGTATTTGTCGTGCCTGTGTGATTGATTGCACTTAGATTGAGTGGGATTTCCCCTTTCCTGGGTGACAACGACAGTGAAACGTACGCAAACATCTCGCACTGTGACTATGATTTTGACGATGAAGTATTTGATCATGTCAGTGAAGACGCGCAGCACTTCATTTCCGAATTGCTAGAGGTGAAACCAAGGTGAGTGGTGCCGGTACGTGTAGGGTATCTCCCCCTGCTGCTGCTGCTGCTAGTGTACATCTAGGTTTGATCTTGTACATGTTTGACTGAGTCTCTCTCTCTCTCTCTCTCTCTCTCTCTCTCTCTCTCTCTCTCTCTCTCTCTCTCTCTCTCTCTCTCTCTCTCTCTCTCTCTCTCTCTCTCTCTCTCTTTCTCTTTCTATCTGTGTGTGTGTGTGTGTGTGTGTGTGTGTGTGTGTGTGTGTGTGTGTGTCTATCTCTCTATCTATCTCTATCTATCTCTCTCTATCTCTCTCTATCTCTCTCTATCTCTGTCTCTCTATCTCTCTCTCTCTATCTCTCTCTCTCTCTCTCTCTCTCTCTCTCTCTCTCTCTCTCTCTCTCTCTCTCTCTCTCTCTCGCAATCGCGTCACACCACGCTATTGTGCCGTTTGTCCTGTATGCTTGCTTGCACGGCGACAGAATACGTCCCAGCGCGCACGAGATGTCAACGCACTCCTGGATGCAGGCCACCATACAGTCACCCTCGACCAGCATGTCCACAAGCAACACATGCGTCGTCAGCAGCAGCAGCAGTGTCGGTGGTGTCAGTGCCAGCACCAGTACCACAAGCACCAGTACAGCTATCGCCGGCGGCGCCAGCAGCAGCAAGATTGATTCTCCCATCGCCACCGATGGCACTGCCAGCAGCACTCACAAGGTGCTAACACCCGTCAACAGCAACCAGAACAATCTCTGCAGTTCGGCGAAAACAACACCCACTGGCAGCCCCGTAGTCAGTAGCAGTAGTGGCGCCTTCACTCGCGGCGAGTCCACGCGGAATTTGAGTGTCACGGTCGACCAATCGTCTCGCGGTGGTGGCAGTGCCCCGAACTCTGCCCGCCGACTTGTCGGCAATCAGCACATTGGGGTGGAGAGGGCAGCCAGTCTGCCTGTCCGGGATCGCAGTCGCCTTGCCATTGATATCTTTTCATCGCAAGATGAAGGTGCTAATGATTCAGTAAGTCCTGCTGCTGCACCGTTTTGTAAAGTAAGAAGAAAGGATAATTTTGTTGATGCCATCTTCAGTAAATCTACCACTAAGAAGACAGGGCCACTAAGTTACGAGTTATGACTAACTGTCCACCAAGGTAACGAGATATTATACAGTCAGATAGTGGGACAACAAGGCACACAACTGACAGGGATATTATTGGTCCTTTCTTCTAACTTCACTGTTATTGGCTCAAGATCCGAGTTTTAATCAGCACCACTTTGTCTTCTAATGTGTATGCGAAACTTTCAAAAACATTGCTTGTGAAGAGTCTAAAGCTCTTCCGAAGATTGCTTTTTTATCCCCTGGAAAAAACCATTGCCCTATCCGATTCTACGCATGCCAGACGCCGCAGAATCAAGCTGGCGACTAAATCCATCTGTGTGTGTGTGTTGCACGTGTGCTGCACGTGTGTGTGTGTGCGCGCACGCGTTTGTACGTGTGTGAACATGTGAATGTATTGTGTGTCTGCTCTCTCGCCCATCATCAGATGACATCTGCAACAACGGGCAATTCACCAACCCTGGACACGGCTCCAGACCTCCGAGAGGTGAGCTCTTACACTGCTGCTGCTGCTGCTGCTGCTGCTGCTGCTACTACTACTACTAACTTACATAATTATGGTCTGTCCGGATGAATACCGGTGGATCACTGAGCCCATTGCACAATGACGTAATTTGTACCGCGAACACCCCACACGGCCACCTGGACATGGTCATGTGGGGTGTTAAACAGTGCATCCCCGATCCTAGCATACTCACATACATTACTCATGCAATCCAAATTTGGCAATGAGCGCAATGGTACCTGCTGTGGCTGCCTGGCTAGTGTTTGCTACAGCGGTGTTGCTAGAATTACCAGCCACCCAGCAAGTGTCTTCTCAAGGTTCCCTTGCGTGTTTGTGGGCTGCATAAAGCCTTGTCCTTTCCGAAATAAGCACACGTTGTGTAGTACCGGCCAAAGAAATCCAACTTTATGAATAGAATAGCGCCGGGCGCTATGCAGCCCTGACACTACAAATACTGGTCTGTGCACTTGAACGCGGCGCTACTTTATTCATGAGGTTGGATTTCTCTGGCCAGACCTGTAGAAAGTGTCTGCCCCATACTTCGGAGTCTTAGCTCATGAATGTGTTGTGCGTGATCTTTTCAGTTTTGTAAGTATGTCTCGTGCAGTCATGGAGCACATACGGTAGAGAACAGTTCTATGCATGTTGTATGAGCGACGTGAGCCAGCTAACCAGAAAACACTTGCGACATGTGTGATGTTGACGGTTGCTTTTTTCTTTCTTCTTTTTTTGGCACTGCGTTGTACGGTGCATTGGTCAGTTTGGTCCTTTGTAGTCTAACTTTGTTTGCTGTAATGGTTCATGTCAGCAGTATAGCATATACCGTGTTTGTGTGTGGGGTGTGGGGGGGGGGGGCATGGGCCTTGTGTTGCTTGGAAATGCGTATCGCGTATATTTTACTATCCGAGGGGGGCGTATTAAAGTGAGTTATCTTCTTCCTGCAAATTTCTCCTCTCATTGCATGTGTGTGTGCGTACATTTCTCCGTGTAGACTCCGTCTGCGGTGGACTCTGCGTACATGAGTCGTCATCGCCGATCGCAGTCCTGCAAAAGGTCAGTCTTTTCGCGATTTGACGCTCGATACTCGTGCACGTGTTATCCCTTGTTAATGTTTTCTGCAGTCAGAGCCATCCTCTGACCCTGGCCAATAATAATGCTAACATAGAGAATACGGTGATGTCTGGGAAAAGTGTTGCAATAACAGAGTTGATAAATATGGTGGTAAAGACACACCTGGCAATATGGCGGTAAACACACGCCTGCCCACACACGCTCTCTAGGCTGCAAAGTTCTGGCACAGAGCTCTCCTTCTCACCACCACCACCATCAGTTCGCGCCTGGCGCCTGGTCGATGCATGGTTGGCGGTATCCGGCATAGCAGGCTGGTACATCAAGTAGTGCATGGCACATAGCAGATGACACAGCAACGACATAGCTCGATTGCGACGTACGTTTCGTCCCCGCTGGACTCCTCAGGCAATCTTCTTCTTGGATGTCTTCTCCCGAGTCAAGCTCCGTGTGAAGACATCCAAGAAGAAGATTGCCTGATGAGTCCAGCGGGGACGAAACGTACGTCGCAATCGAGCTATGTCGTTGCTGTGTCATCTGCTATGTGCCATGCACTACTTGATGTACCAGCCTGCTATGCCGGATACCGCCAACCATGCATCGACCAGGCGCCAGGCGCGAACTGATGGTGGTGGTGGTGAGAAGGAGAGCTCTGTGCCAGAACTTTGCAGCCTAGAGAGCGTGTGTGGGCAGGCGTGTGTTTACCGCCATATTGCCAGGTGTGTCTTTACCACCATATTTATCAACCATAAGTACAGCTGCAGTGGTGTCTTCAAATTCATTCTCCCGAATAACAGAGTTATAGTAAAAAAAAGTTAAAAAAAAGGAGAAGGACATGTTACGAATTCTGACTAACTGTCCACCAACGTAACCAGATCTTATACAGTCAGTCAGTGCAATTGGCTCACCATCCATGTTCAATAACAGAGTTCAGTGTATTACTATTACTAGCCATGGCCTTCGTGCAACACATCATCACAACTATTGAGAGTGTCAGTGTGTGTGACCGGTGGTGTCTTCCACAGTGCGAGCGTAAACCCCTGTCCACATCACTGTCGATAATGGGGAGGAGAGGGTGGGGGGTAAATGTGTGTGGGTGGTGTAGAAGTGTGCATGTGCGAGTGATTCTCCTAAACATGCCATTGCCATCACTCACTCACGTTGTCACTATGCCATGGCGTATGCGCGGGTGTTTGCGGTTGCATGGACGCATGTCTGTGTGTGTATATGTGTGTGTACGCATGCCCCCTGTTCACGCCATGCAGTGAATCCGGTGCTGTCACCCCACCGTCACCAACACCGGCATGCGAGCGTGTGCCATTGTCCCCACCGCCGCCATCGTCCTCGCCGCCATTATCCCTGTCACGGTCACCACTCTCCTCAGTAGTACCATTGGCATCCAGCAGCACACAGAGTGTTAGCAATAAGAATGCCACCATAGACTCACCGCCAGCAGCTGCTTTGCAAGCTGATACAAAGAACCAGCAGCCAAGGCGGCACAGTAGTACATCGGATAACCGCCATGCTAGCACTCTGCCTAACGATGATACAAACACCCCGCCTAGTAGGAGTAACACTGCTAAAGCACATGATAACATGCCTATGGGTGATGCTGGTGATGAGTCAGTTGCTGGCACAGGTGCGGTCAACGCTACCCGTCCCGCTAATCTGGCTCTCAGGACCACTAGCACTAGTAGTAATAGTACTACACGATCCATCAGTGGTACTGGCGATGCGGTTGGGCGAGTGGCTGAGCGCAACGCTACTACCTCCAGGCCTGCTAGCAAGCGGCACTCTATGCCAGCCGTAGAGTCTCCTCTCAGTACACGCTCGTCCTGCGCCAGCTCCGTTGCTGCCTCGCGCACTCGTTCCAATAGCAGATGTGTTGAGAAAGACGATCGGCAGGGGGCAGCAGCGGACAGCAATGCGGCAGCAGTGCCGGACAGGACACAGTCTCCGCGGCGGCGTAGTACCGACGCCGTTAACAACACATCCACCAGTCGCCGCAGCGGCAGCAGCCAGACATCCATGGTGTCTGCGGCGGCTATCTCAGCTGCAGGCCGTCGCAGTCGCTCTGGTTCTACGTCCAGTGTGAATGCAGATGTCAGCACTGCTACACTCAATGAAAACAGTACTGTGACGGAGAAAACACCCGGTGGGAGTCGGCGGCGGCGTTCTAGAGCTGGCTCAGCATCCAGTATTGATGACGTGTCGCCAGCAGCCAAAGCCAGTACTGTGGTGCCAGCAGCAAGTCCCATCCTGTCCCATTCGGTCAGTAACCAGCGAGCTAACCGGACATCATCCTCCTCCTCCACCAGCTTGGCTAGTGGTCACCACTCCACCACCTTGGCAGCTAGTGGTAATTTGTCACCGCGGCGACGACGCGTCAGCACCAGCTCACCATCCGGTCAGACGGATGACTATCATGTTGCTGACGCCAGTCGTAGATCAGTTAGCAGCAGAACGGGCAGTGATACTGTAACCAATGTTGATGTTAGCCGTAGATCAGTTACCAGCAGAGCAGGTAGTGATACCGTAGCTGCTGCTGATGCTAGCGCTGTTCAACAGCCATCACAGCCTGCAGCATCATGCACAGTCATCAGTGACTCTAGCAGTGTAGCGGCAGTGGACAGCTCAAGCAACACTTCTACCCAGACAGATGAGCTTCCCTCTCCGAGTGTCACTGCGAGCAGTGCTGTGATGATGAAAGATCGTGCTGCCACCACCGCTACCACCAAGAACGACTCAATGTCCCAAGCAGCATCTTCAACCAAGGAGACGACGCACTCTACAGGTGTAGGCTCCCGAGCAAGCATATCTTCTACATCTGACCGACCAAGCTTCTCCTCTGTCTCGTCGGCTGATGACAGCGCAATCATGTCTGATATCGAACTGAGTCCGGTGCTAGTACCAGTGCAGTCTACACCGGAGAAAAAGTCATCTACCAACACTGTGCCTGCTGCTGCTGCTGCTAGCCGTGGTGGTGACGGTGATAGCAATGCGGCTGTTCCTGGTGCTGCTGCTGGGACTGCTCTCAAACTGGGCGGCAAAGCAGAAAAGCAGTCAGCCGCCAAGAGAACAGTGTCACAGAGCTCAGCAAAAGATCCGGTGCAGCTAGCGAGTCGTAACTCTGCGCCCAGAACTGTGTCTGGTGTTGCAGCTACTGCTACAGGTAGTAACTCTACTCGTAGCACTGACCAGAAAGAGAGAATAGCTGCAAATGAACAGAAGGACAAGCAAACCCCAAAGGACCCAGGTCAGCAGAGAACTGCTTCTCAGAGTTCGGCCAGTCAATCGCCATCACGTCAGCAGCAGAACAGCAGCAGAGCACTATCACCGGCGGCACAGACACCACCGCGTAGCAGTACTGGTGTCAGCCCTCGTCTGGGCAGCTTCCGGGGCTCGGCGATGAGCAGCCGCTTCTCCAATTCACACAACGACGTATCCAGTGTGGGCAAGTCAACATGTGCAAATGATAGTGCCAACCGATCATCAGATACTGTATCAAAGAAGAACAACACGGTCTCACCTACACTGGGCTTAGCATCAACTCCATCACCCGCTGGACGAAGAACTGAAACCAGGCCTCCTTCCACTGCTGCCAAATCTCCAGTACAGGAGAAAACTGGAACAGACATCGCCTCCGCCAAGCACTCTGCGTCCACCGCCACCACTAGCAGCAGCAATAGCAGTGGCAGCAGCTTGGCTTCTCGCCAGGAGGGCCGCAGCAGGACTACTACCACGGTGGCGCCACGTGCTACTCGAGACCTGGATGCCAGCTCAACGCCACGGCTTGGCAGCTTTCGGCGTCGCTCCGTCTCTCGTTCTTCCCAATCGGACTTCTCACGCGTCAACAAGTTCCCAGATGACAACGCCACTGCCCCTGCTGCTAACAGTACAGCGAAAACTAGCACTCAACTGTCTTCAGAACGTCACACTCCTACATCACGTGCTACAAGCAGCAGTTCCGCGCTATCATCCCGTTTCTCTGCGTCGCAGAGTAATCTGTCACGAGCTGGCACCGATGCTTCATCCTCATCAGCATCCTCTCGTCGTCTTGTCTCGGCCAGCAGTACACCGCGTGTCCGCTCTCCAGTTGATTCAGCACAACTATCATCAGCGGCAGCGGTAGAACCATCATCAGCTACGCTAACTGATAGCACTGCCAGTGCTATTACATCTACTATCTCTAAGGATAGCACCGGTGAGAGGCTCTCTGCTCTGGGATTATCTAGTCGACTATCAGCCAGCCAAACCGACATCAGCATGCGTTCACAGCGTAGCAGCAGCGGCGGCGGCAGCAGCAGATCCACAGCAGTATCCACCTCCAACACTCCGCGCACATTGTCCCCGACCAACGAACACTCGGACCACCAGGGGCAGCAGCAGCATCATCGCCAGCACAGTTGCAATCCCAACCGTTTGCATCTCGGCGTGTCGGCGCGTCTCACGGCCTCGCACTCTGACCTCTCCTACATTAACCGTTCTGTTTCGCCCTCCTCGTCTCGTCACCTCGCGCCGGTGGATCGCAGTCGCTCGGGTTCGCGCTCGCGCATCAGTCGCACCGTACTGGGTGAAAGCTCGTTCCCATCGCTGGCCGCACCCAGCACAGCCAGTGTTTCTCCGCTGACAAGCCGTGTGAGCAGCACTTCACGCACCTCTTCACCGGTACCAGGGGCAGCAGCAGCCGGACGGCACACATCCTCATCGCCGTCTCCAGCCGAGCTCAAAGCACCGCTGGAGCATACCTACGTTAGCTGGAGGGACAGGCTCAAGAAGTCGGCACCTGCAGCAGCAGCAGCAGGCACAGCTGCCAACACTGGTGGTAGCGGTGGTGGTGGAATGCGCAGGAATTCACCCAGCCCGTCGAGCACTGCTGTTGACGCCGTGACCGACTCTGGCTGCCAGAATAGCAGCACAGCAAGAGACTCTGGCTGCCAGAATAGCAGCACAGCAAGAGTGCAATCACCTGCTCCTACTACTGTTTCTGTTGCTAATGATGTTGTGTGTAGCGGCGAGTATGACAACACCGCGCAGGCAAGTGTCACTGATGATTCTCACCTCTCCCCGTCGTCGTCGTCATCGTCCACTGGCACCATTGGCAAACGAAGTGGTATTGCTGCCAGGAGCAATTCATCGGACTCTGGACATGCACTCTCGCCAGAGCAATGTCCAGAGTCTGCACCATCACCGCCATCCTCGTCGTCACAACAGCGCCAGCCAGGTAGCAGTGAAGAGAACGATTGTGCGCAGTCTGCGCACGCCCCCCAGCTCCGCAATGACGAGAGCAATGACGTTGTGGCGGTTGCAGACTCCTCCAACCAGGATGCTGCGTTTGACTCTGGCATCTCCCTGGACGATAGTCCCCAGCACCTAGCGGAAGAAGGCCTGGCATGTGACAACAGTGGTGTATTCACATCATCTCGTGATGATCGCCACGCAGACAGTGGTGCCGTGCGTAGAGCATCGGACACCACGTCCCCTGACAACGGCAACGCCTCTCACACCACTGGTGGCTTCACCCGTCGCGCCTCGGACCTGGGCGAGTCCTTTGCCAGCTGGCGCTCCCGTGTGCACCGCTCCTCCACATCTTCAGCATCGCTGGCGTCGGGTATCTGCGCCTCGCGTCACCAGAGCCCACCAACACGAGTGCGTAATTGAGCCATCTTGGCCTTGAAGAACAGTTGATGAAGGCGATGAGATTCTGGAGAGGTTTGCACTGCACTACTGCAGTTACCTGCTCGTGTATGCAACGTGCTGATGTCTTCTTGATTTTGATCTCACCCTGCAGTTTGTCCATGAGTGTACTGTGTTTGTCCATAAATGTACTGTATTTGTGCATAGATAGATGTATGGTGATTGTGCATAGATAGATGTATGGTGTTTGTGCATAGATAGATGTATGGTGTTTGTGCATAGATAAATGTATGGTGTTGGTGTGCATAAATGACTGTATGTACATTGCATGCGTAAAGTTTCAACTCATTGCTACTAAGTGAGAGTGTAGATGTCTCAGAGGACATAGCGGGCATTGCCAGGATAGCTGGCTGATACATTCTGGTCACTAGTCTTACTTATTTCTGTCACTTTGCTGTCTGACTACCCGTTACGTGTTCTTGATAACTTATACACAACTTTGTGTGTATACGTCATAGTGGCTGACTGCATTGTGCATGCGGCTTTCCCTTTCCACAACACATCGTAGCACGCACCGTTATGTGTGTGTGTGTTTACCAAGACCCAGGAAAACACACACTGGACACGCACACACACACACACACAAATGCACGCACACACACACACACACACACACACACACACACACACACACACACACACACACACGCACATCCAAGCAGGCGTGTGCACCCCAGAACTCACGCATGATCACGCGCATAATGTCAATGCTCTCTTTTGAATTACTATCATGTATGTGTGTACGTATGCTTCATGAACTTGCGTGTTTGCCTCTGTGTGCTCATCTCTACTTTCTTGGAGGCTTTATCACCAAGTGTCTCTTCTTTATTTTGAATTCCCAAACGATATCCAACCATGTCATCTTGTTGCATCTCTTCTATCTATCTATCTATCTATCTATCATCCATCTGGAATCTAAAGTCTATTTCGGGTGCATGCCGCAATCGCAATGTGCACCGGTCCCCCCACTTTATTATATCACACTACTTGTTTTATTGGTGACTCCTGTGCTTGGGCGGTTATTTCTATCTATACCGATTGAATCCTCAGTAATAATATATTCACCAAACGTACAAGAAAAGAGTCGTTCGTTATGCTATTGAGAACAAGGGATTTCAGGAGTTCCTTGTCCTCTTCAGGTCGGCAGTGAACGTTTGCTGTCTCATCGACTGTTGCTAGTGTTACTGAGCGTGTGTGTGAGGCACTTCAATCAGTCGTGTGGTGTAGACCAGGCTAAAACTAGTGGCGGTCAGTTCATCTATGCGCCGAATATTTGTTGACTTTACAGTATTGGAAAAGGGTGCTGACTGTTTCCTCTTTCTCCCCCCCCCCCCCCCCACACACATACACATGCACTATGTTCCAGGCTAGAACCCTGCTGTAGCAATGGCATGGGAGTAGGTGTGTGTGTTGGGGGGGGGGGGGGGGGCTCTAGCTCTACTTGTGCAAACACGAGAATACAGAACGCAAATTGTTGTGCTGGCCATTCCGACTGATTGCAATACAGTAAAAAAAACAGATCCGGAAGTCCCTAATACGGGCACGTCCGTCTACTGGGTACCTTTCTGACACATCTACTGTCACAAAATAGGCTTTTCAGTGAAAAACAGCCCCTAAAATTAGTAAAATAGCAATGAAAAATATCAATTGTGCACTCATAACCATGTATAAACAATTAAAATGAAACAATTCCAGAACGTTTTCGTGTGACCATCATCAGTGGAACATCGTCACATAGTAAGAATCACTAAAACAACCAGTTATATAGCTAGAGTAATTATGAAAAGAAGCGTGAGAATGCAGCACAGCTAGCGGTTATGCATAACGCGTGTAGTGTGAACCTTTGCAGTGTATCTGAGAATGGTAGCAGTAGATGAATGTGGCAGCTGTGAGTGCGTGTGAACAAAAACCTGGTGAGTGCGTATTATTTAAAAAGTGTGAGTGCTACAACATTTTCTTTTTGCTTGCATAGAACAGGGTCACGTGTGCGAATATATACAGCCTCCAACACCTGCAACTGCTTAAAGAAACGCGCGCGACAAATAACACTAAACCAGGAATCGTCAAACAACTTACGACAATCCGGACTGGACACCAAATGCTTGTAGATGGCAGACTTGCTCTTGTCGATGTCGAACTCCTCCTCGTCCGTATCACTCTCATCTTCCACTTCCTGTTCCTGCTCACCCTTGCTTTCTCCCTGACCATCCTGTTCATCCCCATCATCATCCTCCATCTCCTCATGCCATCGCTTCTTTCTCCTTGACGTGTTCACTGCTGCGCCCGTACTTTCACCTGCCACTACTGGTTCCGCCTTCTCCATTTTTCTCAGTCGTGTCTCCGCTAGTCTCTGGCTTCTCCTCAAATTCGTTTTTCCTCCATTTTTATTTCGTTCTCCTGGTGATCTTTCCGTTACCGCCGTCGGGCTTGTTAACGAACGATCGTCCGGTGGTCTCTCATGCCGTGTTGTTGTCGTCAAGAGTGACACCAGATTCATGTGTTGCGCTACTGTTGAGTCCGGTGTTGTATCCGTCTGCAAGTCTGCCATCTACAAGCATTTGGTGTCCAGTCCGGATTGTCGTAAGTTGTTTGACGATTCCTGGTTTAGTGTTATTTGTCGCGCGCGTTTCTTTAAGCAGTTGCAGGTGTTGGAGGCTGTATATATTCGCACACGTGACCCTGTTCTATGCAAGCAAAAAGAAAATGTTGTAGCACTCACACTTTTTAAATAATACGCACTCACCAGGTTTTTGTTCACACGCACTCACAGCTGCCACATTCATCTACTGCTACCATTCTCAGATACACTGCAAAGGTTCACACTACACGCGTTATGCATAACCGCTAGCTGTGCTGCATTCTCACGCTTCTTTTCATAATTACTCTAGCTATATAACTGGTTGTTTTAGTGATTCTTACTATGTGACGATGTTCCACTGATGATGGTCACACGAAAACGTTCTGGAATTGTTTCATTTTAATTGTTTATACATGGTTATGAGTGCACAATTGATATTTTTCATTGCTATTTTACGACTGTTGTCTCCTCGTCGGTTACCTAAAATTAGTGATTGGCATAAAAAATCCTTACTTGCATGCAGTAAGTACTAGTATGTTATATGACCCGCGCTCTGCGAAAACCGACCTTAGGTGCTTCGTACTTCAAGTAATTTTTTCGAGAAAAAGAACAAAACGTAACAGTCTGTCGATTTTTGAAGATCACAAGGTGAGAGTCATGGCGGAACGAAGCAGAAGACGGTCGCTAGCTCAAATAATTGCTGTGGGCTTCTCCCAGAGGTTTTATCCGAACTCCTTCACGATGAATAGTCATTTTTTGGCCTGGTCCAATCGCAGTTCTGATGACAGCAGTGCCGAGGAGAGTCGAATGTGGAATCGCAGGACGCAACGCTGATCGAGCTGGACGGCCATGCGGAGGAGAATTTCGATCAGGCGTCAGTTTTGCCACCAGCCCAGCCCCTCAATGCCGGCAATACACAGAGTGCAGACCAAGAAAAATCGGTTCAAGTACTGTCTACAATCCAGGAGGCGTGCGACAAGTTTGACAAGGGCTGTAGTTGTTCCGCACTGGTGCTGTTTCAAGAGCGTGACACTTGAAACCTTGCTTTACATTTACAGCGCACACAGCGCACGCCCTGACACAGCGCACGCCCTGACCAAGTCAGAGCGCTGCTTGTGTGTAGGCGGAAAACTAGACGTGCTCAGGAGACGTGGTGAGGCTACCCTGCGCGTCCAGCGTGCGCGTGCTGGGAGATGTGATAGATGGGGCTCAACAACTACTCTGAACTACTGAAGACTATACAGTCAGTGGCTGGTGTGGAAGTCATGTACATGCATGTCAGGAAGTCTTTGTGTATGCCTCCAGCGCAGGATCAAGCCCTGGGTGCTGAAATCTGTGCAGGCTGCTGTCAGTGCAAGTGAAATCAGCCCAACACAGGAATTGAATGAACTCTGGAATGCACCGCCTGTGGAAGATGTTGTGGAATTGAAGCATTTTATAGAGCATTATGCTATAGTTCATGGCCTCCTTTAACCTGCATCTCCACATGGGCACAACAAGCCAGTACCAATCTACTTTTATTTGCCCAGTATCACTACGAAGAAGCTTGTTCACCAGGCGTTCACAAAGCCAGGTGGCAAAGCTGCATACAGTATGTTTGGCAGGATTTGGAAAAGAAACTGCCATGATATCACCGATTATGAAACAATGTGTGCGGCAGATGTAGACATAACTAGATGTTCTGCTACCAGTACCAGATAAAACTATCAATATCCTTTAACCCGGCATTGATCCGAGCTTCTTCACTACTTTGCACCTGCCTCTACCCATCACTCCGGCTGGCATATCCTCATACAGAGCCAAATACCTCTTCCAGCAGTTTCGTGAGCAACACCATCCACAGAACAGAGATAGAATGTGTCTATCTCCACAACAGGAAGATCCAATGCCATCATAAACCTTTCCTTTTGAAGATTATGACATACAGATTTATTCTGCAAAGTTTGGTTGCAATCATGCTGCTTGAATTCTCACAGCATTGGCTCCAAAATGTAGCATAAAATCCAAGATTTTTGCTACTTTTCCTCAAAAAATTGTAGGAAAAGTGCAAAGAAATTGTCATTGTATCTAACTGAATATGCAATCCACCTCAAACTTCACCAGAAATTGAAGAAAGGGTCATGGGTCAACAATCCAGCACAAACTCAATTTCGCCAAAATAGCACCTAAGGTCGGTTTTTGCAGAGCACTGGTCATATTATATATTATTATTTATTCTTCTTTTACTAGGGAATTCCCAACAGGCGTCAGCGCCTTTTTACAGGGAACCCTAGGATGTTAGCTGTGTGTTATGGGCAGTGCTCGGTCCTAACCTGCCCGGATCTGGGCAGTTGTACTGTATAGCAGTGCGGTGCGGTGCTGGCCATTCCGACATGCACTGATTGAAGTATTGCGGTATGCTGGCCATGAATCCCAGAATTTAGCAACTTTGCTCTGTGCTCTGTTGTGTTTAGTTGCCTATGATGATTTCAGGTGTCTTGTTGACTTAACAATACAGTGTGTGTGCGCGTGTGTGTGTGTGTGTGTGTGTGTGTGTGTGTGTGTGTGTGTGTCTGTCTTCAAATTAAGACCCGCTGTCGTTGCTATAAGAGAAAATCCTTGGGTGCACATGCAGTAGTGCATTTGCAGAATTGCGTGTTTCTCTTGCGACGGGCGTATACATGTGGTGTGTGTGGGTGCGCACGTGTGTGTGTAGTCTGTTCAGCTGTGGTTGCTCGGGTTCTTTAGGATCCTTGATTTATTTGTGTATGTTTTCGTCTGCGGGCGGATGTGTGTCTACGTATGTCTGTGTGCCTATGTGTATCTGTGTGTGCAGTCTGCCATCAACTGTGCTCATCGAACGCCAGGATCCAGAGGAGAGCTTCACCTATCTGCAGGAGCAGGCTCTGCGCTTGTCCGACAAGATAGAAGCCATGCTGCTGGAGAAACAGCAGCAGCAGTCGCGGCGTAGCTTCAGCACCTCCCCTTCCTCAGCAGTAGTAAACAGAAGTGAGCAAATAGCTGGACTTAGCAGCACTGGTGAGTCGTCATCTTTCACGGTATCGGCGGGGTCGGCGGCAGCGGCAACCCAGAACACAACCTCTGGTACGGCACCGACCACTCCGGTGAAGAAGGCAATGCGAGTCGTTCTAACGCCCTTAAACAGTCCGCAGCGGGCGTTACCTCTTGTTAGGTCCCCACTGTCGGCACCCGGAACCAACGTTGTCTCCGCCCCCGGCAATCCCATGACCGATAGTGAATCGCCTGGTGCCAAGAATGCAGCCACCCGTTCGTTTTTCTCCGTCAGCGGTGCCCGTATCACGTCCACCGATGCTGCCCAGCTTCTGAACAGAGTACGTATTCACTTGAAGTCGTCAGCCAGTATCAGCGGAATGCGGCAGCTCGAGCGGCCGCGTGGACCGCCGATTTCCGGCGATCTCGACTTCTGCCAGCAGCGTCCGCATGGCCGTGGCTCGTTGTCCAGCTGTGATGATGGCACAGGTTTGGAGTATACCGCCGGTGGGGGTGGTGGTGGCAGCAGGGCGCATGCACCATGCACGCGTGTACAGTCCGTCGATCGCTTTCGCCGGCGGCAGATCCGCGGCGCCGGCTGTGCTAATCTGCACACGAACCTCTCCGCCAACAGCAGTTTGACGGTGAACTGTGCCGAGTGTTCTACATGTACTGGCGACACTCATGCACCTGCAGGTGGAGGTGCTGCCGGTGGAGGTGCTGCTACGGGTGGCAAGCCACTACCGCCGTCGCACTGTCAATGCCGTCCAGTGCTTCCCTCGTCGCCACTATCCCATGACCCACCTGTTGGTCTTGGTGCAAGTGGTGCTGCCGCTGCATCTGTCAACTACACTGCTACACATGCAGCAAGTGAAGCAGCAGCGGCAGGTCATCATATGACATCAACGCCATCAGCATCGTCGTCGTCATCACTGACGTCGATCAATGCGTCATCGATCCCCCATGCAGCGAATGTTCATGCCAATTCTGGCAGAAAAGGTCATGGAGGCGATGGAGAAGAGGGTGATGACATCATGGCACCGCTTGCCACCTATTCCAACCAATCCCAGCATCGCAACTCCTGCCACTCTGATGGCTCTGGACCTTGTGCCCTGTCCTCTTCCTCCTCAGGCATATCAGGTACACCAAGCTGCCTCTCCATCGAAGACTTTTCCTCGCCTGAACTCGTAGCATGCTATACCTCCGAGCTTGAGTCCGAGATGAAATCCTCGTCGAACAGCGCCGCTGGCAATCGCGGTTCCAACGCTGCCCCGCCGCCGTTGGCGCTGAAGTTCAAGAAGGCCGCCGCCCTGCGCCAGTACTGGACGGGCAAGTTGAGTACGTTTCCCGGCGTGTCGCCGTTCTCTCTAGCTCTGATCGGGCTCACTGCTGGCACTGCGGCTGCTACGCCTGCCTTCCGACTCGGCTCAGACCCTCACATGGGCCGCCATGCTGATGCAGCGGGCAGTATAGCGCAGTCGCAGTCAACACCCATTGCGGCCGATGGTGGCGGCGGCGGAGTGTTGGAGCGTTTGGACAACGTGTTGACAGCAGCGCATAGCCAGAACACGGTGCCACGCCGCCAGTCCATGCCTGGCGATACATCCACGTCACTGTCCTCATCGGCAGCAGAACAGCCTCAGCAACAGCGGTCTTCTTCTCATCCGAGCTTAGTGCGTCTGGACAAGCATCGTCGTTCCTCTCAGTCAGCCTCGTCGAAACAGACCTCTGCACACATATCTCCGAGTGGCAGTCATTGTGATGGCTTGCTCAACACCGCTGCTGCCTCTCACCTGGAACAATCCGACTTTTCGCACGTTCTCATTCGCACGCAGAGTCCGTCTGTTGAGGATGCCAAGATTTAGCCTGTCCACCTGTCTACCGCTGGTTGACAGTCTATATAAGCGTTAGTAGCGAGCAGACATGTGGCTAGTGCATGCCACCTGGCCTTTTCTCTCATCATATCTCGGTTGTACTGGACTCTTGCAGAGGAAATCTTCTGCTGTTGATGTACGTGTTGTCGTTGCTATTGTTGTTGCTGTTGATGTTGCTCTTGTTTTCCTCGGCGTCGTTGTTCGTGGTCTCGTTCTTCTTGCTGTTGTACGTGTGTATATGTGTGTGTGTGTGTGTGTGTGTGTGCGTGTGTGTGTGTGCGCGTGTGTGTGTGCGCGCATGTGTAACTTTTGCTCTCTGGCATGGATATCTGAGTGCCAGTGCAGTTAGTTCTCTTTGGGTATTGTGTGCATACCCATGATGCCGATCGTGCTCTGCTGTGTGCACCTACCTACCACCTACCTTCCCTTGTCTCTGTATGTTCTCACCATGGCACATATACACACTGCTTATGCATAGTGCAATCATGTGACACCAACTGACGTCGTTTCTGCGTCAGCTTGCACCCACTGGCACGCGGGCTGCTGCACTGTACGTGTTACAGCAGCAGTAGCACCTGCATGTTGCAGCAGCAGTAACACCAAGTCTAATCTGGTGTATTTCCTGACTGGACCCCTATATCCTATCCTGCAAACATAATCTTTCTATGTTCACTGCATTGCATATCACGTTTGGCTGCTATTACCGATATGCCATGCTTTCTTCTATACTTGATATCTTTGGTAAAGAAACAACTTTGTCTGTCACTATCTTCAGCAGGTCTTTTGCGGTTCTCTTTTCTGCGCAAGCAGAAGTGCGCGTGGACATTTTGGACATTTGCCTTTTCCCCTCAATATGACTGTGATGTTGCTTAGCTTGTCTTTTCCTTTAGTTGAGTGTCCATAGTAAGGATTCTATCCCGTGCTTGCGCTTATGTGTCTGTGGGGGATGGGTGAGTGTGTGCGTGTGTGTGGGGTGTCTGTTCGCTAGGACTGGCATCACTCTTTGTGTTTGCTGTTCCTAGTTTTCTCCGTCGCTTTTGCATATCTGCTTGCCTGGCAAACATCTCATTGCTCGTCTATTCTCAACTTAGTAGGCTGCATGCCAGTAGGCGTCTGTCCCTTCAGCGTTCTATTCACGTACACTCGTGACATTACGTATTTCAGCATACATGATGTACATGTGTTGTGTGTATTCGCGCACTCATCCCCTCAACTTGTGCTGCATTCTATGCACTGCTAGTGATATGCATATTTTTCATACCTGCTCATTACTACAATGTACTATCATTAATTTACTACTGGTATCAAAGAGTATGATGTCATTCTCCCCTAGCTGGGAACTGTGACCATAATTATTATTACAGCTACTCTCATTGTTCTCGGTTTGTATGCGAGTGGTTGAGTGGTGGACATGGAGGGGATGCTATCCTTGGATATGTACATTTTATAGGTAGGAGCTTGTATGGGTAGAGTACTGATTTCAGTTTGTAGAAGTGTATTTCAGAACTCCGCACTGCATAATACAGTATATGATCTGTGCCATCAGTTTTAAGAGATACATGCAGCATATGCGGACTTGTCACAGCGATCGTAGCAATAACAACTTGTAGTGCAGATCCGTCACGGCGGCAGCAATGGGCTGCATTCTCGTCATGGCCGTAGTAAATGGGCTGTGTAACGGAGCAGCATTCTACTACTTCATACTCAGCACTACAATCATGAAGTACATGTACCTGTCCCTCCAGGAATCCGCGGCCGCGGTAAAATCCGCGGAATTCATGTTTTTTTTAAAATATCCTGCGGAATTCACAGTTTTCACCGCAGAATTGTGAAAAATCACGGTTTGGGGGCAATGCGAGCACGCGCTTCATATTCATGCACAGTGCAGTGTCCTGTCGCTATTTTGTTGCATGATGTGCAGGTGCAATGGACAGTACAGCAACTGTACCAGTTTTCTTCTTTACTATATTGAGCCTATCGTGTGTTTTTCGTGTTTTCGACCACTACATTTTCTATTGATACTTGTACATAGCATATAGCCATGTCTTTTCGCCGGTGCAGCGCCGCAGAAATACCGCAGTATTGCCGTGGAATTCACGCTATCCGCCGCATAATGTAGCGATTTGTGCCGCAGAATTTCAACTTTCTGTCCGCGGATTCCTGGAGGGGCAGATGTACAACACTCAGCACGCATCCTAGCATAACGGTGCTTAAACCGTGGCACTCACACCCTCACTCTGAGAAATACGCAACCACTGGCAACTGAAGGCTAGTAACGCTGTACATGTACAAATGCCATGTGGGATCGAGAGAATTATTTACGAGACGGCGTCTATCATCAGGCTCTCGATAACACCTATACATGTACTGCATGTTGCTGGTGCTGAGAGAGCAAGTGGCTGCAGCTGTAGTGGTGGCGGCAGTAGCAGCGGCAGCAGCAGTGAGGGCAGTAGGAGCAGCGGCAAAGAATCAGTTAATAACTTGCTGTTCTAAACAGTTTGGCGATCGAATTTACAATTTACATCAGGAGCTGAACAGTGTGACAGTGTGGCTACACTGATACTAATAGTTATGATAGTCTGATGGAATGGAGAGTGGGCAATGGTCAGTGTGGACATGTATTCGTGCAGGGCAGGTCAATGTGTGTGTATCATGAGTGGGGGTGCAGAGTCACATGCATATGCTGATATCTTACAGTGGCAATACTATCGCTAGTACAGTGTGGTAGTACTGTAGCAGGCAGTTTGGCATAAAATCATTTCGTGGCGTTCAGTATACACAATGTCATGCTCAACGCACTGTATAAATAATAAATAATACTAAGGGAGCAAGTCTGGCTGTCTGAGTGTACATGTATACAACACAATGTTGCTGTCTGCATGTGGTAGTCCGAGTGTACATGTATACAACGCAGTGTTGTCTGCATGTGGTAGTGTGAGTGTATACAACACAATGTTGTTGTCTACATGTGATAGTACTGTCTGAGCATATAGAACAAGGCAGTGTTGCTGTTGTCTACAGGTGGTAGTCTGAGCGTATACAATGCAGTGCTGTCTATATGTGATAGTCTTGAGTGTATACAACACAATGTTGTTGTCTGCATGTGACAGTCTTGAGTGTGTACAATGCAGTGTTGTCTGCATGTGACAGTCTTGAGTGTGTACAATGCAGTGTTGTCTGCATGTGATAGTCGGAGTGTATACAACAAGACAGTGTTGTCGTCTACACGTGGCAGTACTGTCGGAGTGTATACAACGACGCAGTGTTGTCGTCTACATGGTGATAATCGGAGCGTATACAACAAGGTAGTGCTGCTGTTGCCTACATGTGGTAGTAGTTTTCATCTCGTTGATTCCATCCCTCACCGCCGGGCACTGCGCCCCGCCAGTGAAAGCTGCAGACGGAGCATGGCTGGCAGCATCCCATGCCGTACTCCTTGCTCGGATTGTACTCTTCGTCGCTGTAGATGCCTGGACAGTGACAGTGACAGCAACACACGAGTATGCCCATAGAACCACTGGCATTTCTACACCTCAGCAGTAATTATTGTACATCATACAGTACTTTCCTTTTTATAGTCTTATTCCAGGCGACGTGCTCCTCGTGTGCTCCGGATGGCAGTCGTAAGTCAGTCAAGTGTCAAGTTCGGCAAGAAGCGTGTGTTCCTAGTTGGAACAATCAATTTCATGATTATTCCAGATGTCTGGCTAACTTACTCTATTCGACGACCTGACATCTACATGTAGTTCCAACACATCTACGAAGCGCAAACCAACAACCTTCCAACTTGGAAGGCTCAGGTGCGGAAAGTTCCAATGAGGGGAAGGGAATGCGCCACGAATATGTGCATAAGCTGTGTCCCTCAGCAACAAAGAGTATCGAACGTTACGGGATGATGATGACGAGACTAGTAAGGCCAGTGAACAAACCGGTCTTACAATAACTCGAAAATGCAAGGCAACAGATTACCCAATTTAGGAGGCTCAAAGGTATGTAAAATACATAAAGAGAGGAAGCCAAGCGAAGGCGAACTGTCACGCACACACACACACACACACACACACACACACACACACACACACGCACGCACGCACGCACGCACGCACGCACACACAACACATTAAAAAGTGGCATAGTCAATGCCGCGTGCTGACCTTTGACAATGTCCAGGCAGTGGTCGTAGAAGTTGAAGCGTGGCCAGTAGCCCAGGTGTTGTGCAATCTGTGCGTGGATGGGTCGTTTCTCCTGGAGATGATCCATGCCGGTGAAGTTATTTCCGTCTAGACTAATCCAGCGGACAAACAGCTTCTCTTCGACAACATCTGCACACACACACACACACACACACACACACACACACACACACACACACACACACACACACACACACACACACACACATACACACACACACACACACACACACACACACACACACACACACACACACACACACACACACAGAAACACACCCCATACAATGTGTCATACAGTAAAACCTGTGACTAACGACCACCCCTTGGGGCCAGAGAAAGCGGTCTTCAGTGGCAGGTGGTCCTTAGTTAGAGGTTTGCACCGCACAACCATTATATGAATGTGAGACCGTCCGTGCCTGGAAAAGTGGTCGGTAGTACCAGGCTGGTCGCTAGTCACGGTGGTCTTTAGTTACAGGTTTTTCTGTACAGTGCGTATCGGTTATAGCGTGGTCGTGTAAAAGAATATACTGCCTACAAGAATGAACTCTCATATTTTCATAATCATAACATGGGTTTCATGTGTATATTTATTCTTACAAGCAATGCTATCGTGTAATAGAATATATCGGTCCTAAGAATGGACTTTGTGTAGCAAAACATGCCAGATTAGTACAAAGTGTATCGCCTGTAGTAATAACATCTGCCCGATACAGTTCTGAACCGACTCGAATTGCATCATAATGCTGCAAGTGCATCTGTTGTGGTCATGTAACTCATGTTGCTCGGCCACATGGTGAACCTATGGCCCAGTATGGGACTACTTTGAAAGCATGAGCAACCGCATACACAGCAGCACTACGTTGCATGTATGATGATCTTCCTGGCTATGCGCAAATGCATAGGATACGTCACACTATATTTATCGTGTGTAACAAATATCGGAAATAAGAGTAGAAAGTCGTTTTTCAAACACCCACGCTATAACCGATACCTACTGTACTTAGCTTTTGTGTGAGTTGTCCCTGTAGTGTACAGTTGACTCAGGATAATACAAACACCATTGTGCAGGAGAATTACCTCTGTATACAAGGGCGTCGGAAACGTTGCGGCAGGTCCGGCCAAAGCCGCACCGATAATTTCATCTTGTGACTTTTGAAGCAATGAAATATGGGCTATTTGGGCCCAATTTCCCTAAACATTTCAGGGGGGGGGGGGGGGGACCCCGGACCTCGCCTACTCATGCGGCCGCACCAATGTCCAATACCTTCCGACCCCCTGTTATAGCCGAAGTTCGTTGTAATAGAAATGCACTTACACTATACAAGCAGCAAGTCATGACTGGCAAGTGACCCATGACAGTATGAATGCACTTGGCTTACATGCGGCCCTACAAGATTTAGTTCGTTATAAACGAAAACTGTTCGTTACACTTATAAGTGGTCAATTTTGTATGGGTTTAAGCAAGGACATGGACACGGGTTTGCTATATCACGAAATTGACGATGACATACCTAGGTATGAACATGTACACACATAGCTGTGAGGCATGCGACAAATGCACTTTTGGGTGCCAATTTCCACCCTCAATATCGGGACTGTCCCGGCCAAATCGGGATGGTTGGCAGGTGTGCAATTGCGTGCACCCCCCCCCCCCCCCCACACCCCACACACACACGCGCGCACACACACAGACACACGCGCACACACCGTACGTTTCCCCAACACTAACCTTCCTGCCTGAGCTGCGTCACGTACGCGTGCAGCGGACTGCTGGCGTCCGTCTTGCTGGCACTCTGCATGCAGTAGTTCAGTGCCACGGCGATATCATCGGAGTGATACACTAGCAGAGTTTCCATACCATCATCCCCGTCTCCGCCATTACACCGTGACCTGGCGGTATCATTCGAGCAGCAGCAGCAATGTGTTGCTACTGGTGGTGATGGTGGGCAGGAACAGAGCATGCCGAGACACCAGGCGAACACGGCTTGCTGCCAGCGCGTGCGCACTTCGCCGATTGCCAGCAGACCGGGCGTGTTGAGCGGCGGTCGCTGGTAGTACTTTCGCCATGGCGACCTGCACAGGTCCTTGATGGCGTTTGGTACGCTGCGACGGCGGAAAGCAGCACATGCACGCACACATGCGCACATGCACACACACAGACACACATATACATAATATACATGTACACATGCGCGTGCACACACACACAGGTACGCACGCACACACGCACACACACACACACACACACACATATATATACACTCAGACACAAATACAACACACACATTTTTACAGCTCTCCAGCAGCTGAAACATCACTAAGGATACAAACGTACAGCGGCACTCCGTTTCTAGTGCGACAAACACCTTGTGAGGCCCAAAGCAGCGGCATGAGTCAGTGTCACCCATGCCATAGAGTGGTGAGAAAAATATCCGGATAAGCGAGGGAACCAGAAAAGCGAACACCGGTTTTGCTGGATGCATCACGTATTCTATACATCTGTAACCAGCTATTTTCTTCCGGATGGTGAGGGATCCAGATAAAAGAGGAGCAGATAAGCGACGTCTGACTGTACTCTTCCCCCCCCCCACACACACACGCCCCCCGCCCCCCCCCCCCCACACACGCCCCCCCCCCCCCACACACGCCCCCCCCCCACACACACACGCCCCCCCCCCCACACACACACACGCCCCCCCCACACACACACACGCCCCCCCCCCCACACACACACGCAAGCATGACACTACAGTGCATCTGTTGCGTCTCACTCCCTCCAAGGGCGACAACACTGACTCCCACTGCTCAGTGACCTGGGACCGCAGGCGCGTGCCCCGTATGGGTTCCTGGGTGCCCTTAAACCCCCTTCTTTTGCTCAAAATGCAGGATTTTGCTTCATTTTTTGAAAATTTTCCTGGGGCCAGTACCCCAGAACCCCCCTTGAAGGGCACCGGCGCACGCGCCTGCGGACCCCAGCCCTGGGAGGTGTGCGTAGCGCTGGAAATGGAGCGTCACTGTCAGTTTGTAAGCCTAGTGATGGCTCGCCTCGCGGCTGGAGCACAATAAGATATAGAACAAAAAATGTCATTAGATACTTCTAAACGCTTAGTGCCTGATGGGGGTTGAATTCCTCCGAACACTGTATATCGAGCAAAAAGTGGTACTTTCTTGCAGGTTTGCCGAGTGGAGGTAACTAACTTCACAGAAGTCCCTGCTTCTAGGTTCCTCAGATTTGCCATGAACAGCCCGGACTGTTGTCCACTTGCTACTTGGCCTTCACGTCCTGAGCTCTGTCTCTCGGGCAAGCGTGCGCATTACTTTGGCCTCCACGTCTTGGGCTCTGTCTCTCGGGCAAGCATGCGCATAAGGTGGTCACCCAGCATTCTGAAAGCATGCATTTTAGTGTGCATTTAACCTGACATTGCTGAACTTTGCAAGGAAGAAGATTCACCAACACAATACACAGGTGCGTAGCTCGCATGGGGCATGGTGGGCACGTGCACCGCCCTTAAAACCCTTTGAGGACGAAGGACGAATATATCCGTGTTTTAAGGTATAGCTGGATTCCTATAGACGAGTATATCCGTTTTTGAGAAAATTGCGATATCGATATATTTTTAGGTGCTTGAAGTCGCTTATAATGTTGCTCAGACGAGTACGATCTAATTCTTCGTCAAGGTGAGACATGTCGCAGTCGATCCGCGTCGGTCCCGTGGAGAACCGGCCACATTTGAGTATACTCAGAGAATGCGCCGATCGAGAAATTATTTGGAATTTGAAACTAACTTGTTACTTTGTTGAGAGTGCCGATGGCATGTAACCTGTCAAGTGTCTCCTTGTCTGAGGCCCTTGGCATTATCTTTATGAGCAGCGATAGTGAGGATGAACAGTGTGATCCGTTTTTGTTGCCCGCTGATGTCAATGTCTCTTTAGAATCAAACTTTAGGACACTACATCAATTTTTGAAAATCCCGATTTTTGGAGAAAATCGCAACATACAGCTATTTTGAATTGACCATTCTGACCTCTATAATTGATATATGATGTAGAAACTTTGGTTTTTGTTGCCTACTGATGTCTATGTCTCTTTGGAACCAAATTTTATTACACTAGATAAAATACCGATTTTTCGCCTGAAAATGGTAGGAATCCAGGTGGTTTTGGGTAGTCCTCAAAGGGTTAACATTTTTGACCTACTGTATTTCCCCGGTTGTAAGGCGCGCTCGATTATAAGTTGCACCTCCACTTTGAGGTTTGAACCACATTGTTACAATACATGCATATAAGTGGGATGTCACTCTCGATTGTAAGTCGCATCCCCTTCTGTGCCCTTGAAGTTCAGTGTAAAGCGGTGCGACTTGTATTCGAATATTCGGGGAAATAAGGTATATTCAGCATGCACATAATGACCATGAATGACATGCACCAGCCATCCTACACATATGCGGCCGTGCACCTCCCTAAATGGGGACCAGCTATGGCCCTGATTCGGTAAGGCAACACTTACTCAGCTTACCTTGTGAATGGCATGGGTGCATCCTTCACAAGAATGTCGTCCCCTTCCTTGACCAGAACTAGCCCATTCAAGCCCATGCACATATCTACATCAGCAGGGCTGTGGGCTCTTCCAGCCGCTACTTGAACATCTTCTTGATCTCCCAGTTTGCCAGCATATTCGCCACCCTCAGTTACATGGACAGTCTTGCTATTTACCGATGGCCCACGGGAGGTCTGTTTTCCGCCTGACGGAGCCGTCCATGCAGATTTCATCTGTGCGTGTGGCTTCACATCTTCATCCGGCGAGAGACTGCCAATGAGCCCGGAACGAGAATCCGGATGATGTCGGCTCTGACTAGAACGAAACCCACTTTTCCGATTCGAAACAGCCAAGATCGGTAGGAAGCGGCCCGAGGTTACTGCTTCAATGCTTCCAGCGGCGGGTCGAGGCTGCTCCGTGACCACAGCTTTGACAGTCAAGCCTCGACGGCTCCCGCCAGAGACATGAGGTGCCCTACTCATGCCGCGCTACCACCAAGTAGCCATTTTTACTGTCCTGCTCTCTGCGAGTTCAAGCACGGAACGGTCCGAAGCAATGACAGAATCCAAACAACAGCTCTGAAGTACTATCCGGCTACCGGCATTAGCTTTCCCACGGCTTCCTCCTCTCTGGCTATCTCCGTTCCAGGGTGACGTACAGTCGCACCGAAGCTACGGTCATTTCGTCTTGCTCAGCCGATCTGCAAGAAACACACACTATTTTTCAAGGAGCAACGACCTTGATCGCGAAGGCTATCGCTCGGTTCAACTCCTGTCTTATTGATGGCTATCCCAAGGGCTGAAGAAACATGAAGGCACACTCTGCGAACTCTTTCTAAAGATAGCCAGCAGCTGCTGATTGTGATCAACTCGGCAACTTTTACTAACCAAGGGCACTGGAATACACACTGATCTACAGATAGTAAATCTACCGCTGGAAAAGACAACAGATCTTCGACGAGCGATTTCACACAGAGTAACCAGGTAACAGAGTGACCCTGGCGCTGCCAGTGTCGACTCGTATCACTATCAGACCCACGCAGAAAAGCTGGATCAAAAGAAACTAATGACGTGACGTCCGTCCTTGTCTTGGGCTTGGCAGTTGGCAGACCATCCTGCATGGTAGACTCGCGATGTTCTTCATTCGCAAGTCACCCAGAAAACAACTACAAACGTTTCCTTCGTTTTCCTGGCTTGGTTCACATGGTTCATGGACTTTGAACCCTTGATCTTCATGCCTGGTCATTATTTTGTGCATGCAGCATGCATATCTACGTACAGTCATAATATCATCATGTCATGTAGCGCAGGGTCCACAATTAGGGGACCCAGCAAATATGCCGGCACTAAGTCGAGCATTTTAGGGTGCAAAAATCACACGAGCATAATCGGCGGAAAATAGCAATATTGTAATTTGTAGCAACGTTGCACATGTAATGTACGACTCGTAGTGTGTTGTTCTGACTCTTGAGTTCTGAATGACATTGAATATACCAATAGGCAATACACTAATACACTGTATCATGTGTATGTGCTCTATTATCTATTCTGCTACTCTGTAATATGTAGTATACTCTGAGTTTTGATTTTTTGTTTCCTTTATGTTTACGAATGCATCTTTTTGTGTTGGATGCGAAGAGAGACCTGGATTTCAAGCGAAAATTTGTGAGAATTTCTGGGAATTATCGGCATGGTTTCGGGCATTATCGGCTTGTTTTAGAGAATTTCGAGAAAGCATGATGGGTGATTTTTCGAGCATATTTGCCCGGTGCCTATCCACAATCCGGGAGTCCTAAATAGGCTAAAACTTTAGCGTGTGTGCCTTGGTTACCGGTATACCAAGCTTGATCACCGTGATCAGGAGTAGATACATGACATTGTACAATGTCATGCATCTTCTACTCTTGCCGTGACGGAGAGACCATGCCATCACCATCACCATCACCATGTTCATGGTCACTGGCATCATGTCAGGCGCTGGAGAGGAAATGGCCATGCATCACAGACTCACTACTAGTACTGGATGTTGCGACTCCTGATTCTACCTTTACTTGCTTTCACAGCGGATTCAACATACTCCGGTGCGTGTCTCTACATACATAATTCAATTATTATACTTGTTGTTGGAGACAACATGTAACAACTAAGTGGGAGGACCATCGGAAACAGTGACCTTTCTACAAGTACAACCATCCTCGGTTGGTAGAGCCCCGATCTTGCGACCATCTGAACCGTAGATCTAGTATGGATGTTACACCCGGTTCTGACCCTATGTGGACGGTTGTACTACTCACTAGGGATGGTTGCCTTAGACTTCTTGTTGTACCGTCAATCGACAATCGTGTATTCTGTGTTCGCTCCTGGATGTCTTCTTGATAGTCAGTCCTCATAAACTTAGTAGCTTTTGTTCTGTTCTTCTTTCTGCTCTTTTACTTACTTTTTCTTTCTCCAACTTCTGCCCATGGCGTCCCTCTCTCAGCTCGTCAGCTGACAACAGTCACTGTCCCCACCATGACACTGTCGTGAGAAGGTGCTCTCTGTAGACGAGGTTGGTGATGTCCCGACGCGACCATGGGTTCTAAGGCCTTCACCAAACGCATCTACAGAGATGTAGATCTACAGTGTGTGTGTGTGTGTGTGTGTGTGTGTGTGTGTGTGTGTGTGTGTGTGTGTGTGTGTGTGTGTGTGTGTGTGTGTGTGTAAATTGTCGAGAATGTGCATGACTTTCGCTACCTAGGCTCCATCATCCATACTGGTGGCCGCACCGCAGTGGACACTCGGTCCCGAATAGCGTCAGCATCTAGGGCATTCGGAGCATTGCGTCGATCTGTCTTTGATGATGGCGATCTTTCACTGGCAACGAAGCGAATGGTGTATGATGCATGTGTGGCTTCTCTTCTCCTTTACGGAGCGGCGTGTTGGGTGCCACTGAAAAGCGAGCTTACGGCGCTGTCCGCCTTCCATCTCGCTGCATTTCCGCAATCTTAGCCCTCGGTAGAAGAGACACCTGGGACTTCCACATCAACAGGAAGACCATTCTGGAGGCCTGGAATCGTCGAGATCCGGTGGATATTACCACACGTGTTCTTCGCCGCCGTCTGGAGTGGCTAGGGCATCTAGCTAGGATGGGCTGCGATAGAACTCCGCGCCAGCTCCTGTTTGGTACGCTCCTTCCGCCGAGGCCGGCTTGCGGTCCTCGGAAACGGTGGCGAGACTCTGTCAGAGCTGACCTCTCCGCAGTGAACATCGACCAGACGGAATGGTACGACCTCGCCCAGGAGCGTGGGAAATGGCGCAGTGCGTATTCCGCTCAACCAGTACCGCGATCGGCTCAGCGTGACACTTCTGTGCTCTGCGATGTATGCCAGCGTACTTTCGCCCACCAGAAATACAAGAATCGCCACAAGTGCCTGGCCGAGAGGAGGAAGCCCATATCTGAGCAGTCCGGCAGCCGACTATGTAATGCGTGCGGTAGATGGTTCTTGAGTGCTGGCGGGCTAGCTTCGCATAAGTGTCTCTCCAACTCGGCTGCTGAAGTGGCGTCGGTCTCGGCTGTGGCATGGGTAGACTCGGTCCGGAAACAGCGGGTTGCCCTGCCCTGCTGCAGAGCGCATTGTCTCGGCTGCGGTCGCTGCTGCAAGTCATCCCGTGGTTTCGACCTGCATAGCTGTGCTAAATTCCTGTCCAGGAAGTAGAGCGGCGTTTCTGGATCCAATGCTGAACTCAGTGCTGTCGACTCCTGCACAGGGGACACGTGACCATTTGATGGCAGTGTTACCAAGGACCAAGGTGTGTGTGTGTGTGTGTGTGTGTGTGTGTGTGTGTGTGTGTGTGTGTGTGTGTGTGTGTGTGTGTGTGTGTGTGTGTGTGTGTGTGTGTGTGTGTGTGTGTGTGTGTGGCTGTCCCAGGGCCACACCCTGCCAAGCCCAGTGCGGTTGAGGCCGTGACTGCATGCAGCGAGGAGTAGAATTGTGGTCGGCTTGCATAGTCCTGTGGTGTGCGCACAGTAGACCATTGCCATTGGCTTGGAAGGATACTAGACCGGTGGTTTGGGATCAATACAAATAATTGATAGTTTTCAAACACTGTAACAGAAAGATCCATCTGCCGTGCGGTCACTGTAGATCTACAATCACTTTATTGTTATAAATTTTGATTTTGAAGACACCACTGCCAATGGCAATATGGCAATGTGCCTTCATGTAAGCCTGGTGGTTGACACAGGAAGTCGTCCAGGATAGCCTGGAGTGCACCAAGTACATTGTAGTTAGTTAGCACAGACCACATGTGTCACCACACCATTACGGCATTGGCAATGCCATGGGCACACTCAGTTTTTAGTACTACCTGACCACACTTAGGGCGCGTTCGAATTGTCTTCATCAACTGTTCTAACAAATTTTATAAAGAGATTAGTTGAAGTGTCCCATTAGAACGGTTTCTATCATTTTAGAGTTTTTCAATGGAATTGTAATGGCGATGATGACGTCCGATCAGATCGACCATCTCCACGTACTACGTGATGTAGCTATTCCAAACTCTTCGAAACTAATCCACCTTCCCATCGGATGAGTTTCGAGGAGTTTCGAGGAGCTTCGTTTTTCTGAAGAGGCCAATAAGGCCACCTCTTCAGAAAAACGAAGCTCCTCGAAAAGTCAAAGAGTGACAATTCGAACGCGTCCTTACATGCACATTGTGCATGTTGCCAAGGTAGCAGCTACACATCCTCACGCTGCATTCGTCTTCGGTTTGCATCACCTGTGGACATTCCTCCAACGCACTATGCCCACTGTTGGTGACCACATGCAGCCTCTACAAGATGCTATTCGCAGCCGTCTGCTGCCAGCTAGCTCTGACCAAGCATGAAATGGTTTGGTGATGGAGATGGTGGCTCTGCCTGCTCGACATTTGAGGCTTGTGACGTTGTCTTTCGACACCCCTGTTGAGGACTCTCCACGCAAGCACGCTGCCTCTTTGGAGTGCACCACCCACCTCGCAGCTCAGATCGCTACAGGCGGATCGGAGTTGCTGGAGAGCATTCGGCTGGACCAGGCAACCAAGTCGGCAGTGCGGATTCGATACCGCGCAGTACTGGAAGCAACAGCTACCGCGTACCGCCATCCAAGACCGCCTGCCGCAGCCACAACAGCGAGCAATGTCCTTGGCACGTGAGAAGGGCGGGTCCAGTACCATGACCACCGTTCCTATGGCTGAGCACGGTTTCAGCTTTGATGTGAAAGCTGACTTTCACGACCATATCCGCCTCCGGTACTGTTGGCCCCTGGACAACCTGCCAGCATCCTGTCCCTGTTGCTCAAGGTTTTCAGTCGACCGTGCCCAAATAATAATAATTATTGGCAAGCTGTCGGGGTTCATCCACGTCATGCGACACAATGACCCCACCGACTTTATCGCATCGTGCATGAAGGAGCTCCATCATGATGCGGAGGTGGAGCACCCATTGCAGCCCCGTCCGAACTGGCGAAACCTTTCCCCATCGGTCAGCCAACATTGATCCTGATGCCCTTGCCGGCCTGCGGGTGAAGGGATTCTGGACCGATAGCCGCAACGCATTCTTCGATACAAGGGTGCTTTACCCCTACGCGTCAAGCTATCGTGCCAAGTCCCTCCCCTCCCTCTACCGAAGGTTTGAAGGCGAGAAGAAGCGTGCTTACGGTGAACGTGCCAATGAAGTCGAGCATGGCTCCTTCACACCATTATAGTGTTCTCCTCCTGTGGTGGCATGGGCACTAGGCACCGGCGGATTATGCTCGAAAAGGTGGCAGATTCTGTTCGAAAAGCAGTGAAATTGGCAAAACCATACAAACCTTATGGCGGGCAATTCCTCGAATTCTGCTCCATTTCTTTATCCACATACCAAACATGCATGAAACTATTACTTACCAGAAAAAGTACCGAATTCTGCCAATTTTTCTGCCGGCATTTAATATCCGCCGGTGCCTAATGGGCACTCTTCGGACAGTGGAGCATGCTACTTGATTTACATGTACACTGTATGCTGTTAGAAATCATGTACAGTGTATGCTGTTAGAAATCATGTACAATGTGTGCTGTTAGAAATCATGTACAATGTGTGCTGTTAGAAATCATGTACAATGTGTGCTGTTAGAAAT